CAAAACTCGGTCGACATTACTACCCGAAGGGCCTGAGAAACGGCGGCGAATGCTTAACGTCACGGCTTTCGCGCTCTTTCTGAGTTTGCTCAACCGTCGGTCGGCCCATCCAGTCAAGCGGAAGAAGTGAGGGTGTGCCTTCTACGCTTTGACGAAACTCCGACTTAGGGAAAACTAAGTATAGAATCGTGGAAGTCATGATCGGAGCTCTTTTGACGAAGGTTGCGAAGGTAGCTGCGAGCGTGGGCCTTTTGTTTTGGAATATGGCTCGACTGCGCAAGGGGCTCCCCCTTGCGCAGCGGACGGAGGTGCGATCGCGCCTTTGGTTTTGACATTAGATTGCTTATAGTTAGCTCGAAGATAAGACCGCGTAAAAAAAAAAAAAAAACAATTATGGGATATATGATCGGCAATTTATCGTCTGCTTTGACTGCGGCGAGTTTCCTTGTATTGCCGCTGAACAGCAAGTGGCATCGAGCTTCCAAATTATGTTTTATTTATTTCATGGAATGTATTTTTATCGATATTCTCAGCTAAAACTCGCCAATGCCACACGGACGTCTTGAATGTTTTTGAGGTGAAAATTTAAGCAGCTGAAAACTGGCTCGTGAGGAAATGCAGTTTCCTTAACGAGTCCCTGAGCTTAACACGATTATATAATTTATTTATTTATTTATTTATTTATTTATCTTACCCTTAGGGCACATGGTATTACAGAGGGGAGTGGGAATAATAGTAAACGTAATAAACAAATGGAACAAGATATACAATACTTAAAGAACAGGGAACATGAAATTGGCAATAGATGTACAAAAAAGTGCCTGGTCATTAATTGATGTGAGCGATGCAGGTAAGCGATTCCAGTCTTTGGAAGTCCTGGGAATAAAAGAGTCATAATAAACGTTAGAGTGGCAAAATGGGACACCGACTTTGTGACGATGATCAAGGCGTGCTGAAACAAAGTATGGGGGGATGATTAGTTGGGATTTAAGCTGAGGAATATGGTGGTAGATTTTATGAAAAAGACAAATACGAAAGAATGTGCGACGATGTGCGAGGCTTGGGAGTAACAAGTTATCTTTCATTGATGTAACGCTTGCGGTGCGGTTATAATTAGCCATTATGAAACGTGCAGCTCTGTTCTGAATACCTCAAGCGAATAAACGAGGTAAAGAGTAGAGGGATCCCAGATGGAAGCTGCATACTCTAGCTTGGACCTAAGTAGTGTTTTATAAAGAAATAGTTTTAATGATGACGGGGCGAGATAAAAGTTACGTTTGAGGAAACCAAGCATTCGATTGGCGTTGTTAGTCACATAGTTAGTATGAAGTTTCCAGGAAAAGTCAGCACTTAAAATCACACCCAGATACTTGTATGAGTTTACAAGTTCTAGGGGTGTGTTATTAATACTATAAGCAAAATTGAAGTTGGCTTTACGTGTTATGCGCATTATTTTACATTTATTAATATTGAGCTCCATTGACCAGAGTTCCCACCAGTGTAGTATGGAATCTAGGTCATGTTGCAGTTTTTGTGAGCCAGAGTCAGATATTACTTGATAAATAGCACAATTGTCAGCAAAAAGTTTAATTGAAGAAGAAACCACCGCATGCAAGTCATTAATATATGTTAAAAAGAGTAGAGGTCCTAGAACGGACCCCTGAGGTACTCCGGAAGAAACTGGTGCAGAGGAGGAGTTAGTACCATTACACGTTACAAATTGTGACCGATTCGTTAGAAACGATACTAGACAGTTAAACACGTTAGAGTAGATGTTAAGTTTACTTAACTTAAGCAGTAAAAGTCGGTGCGATACCTTGTCAAATGCTTTGGCAAAGTCTAGAAATGTGCAGTCCACCTGAGATCCCTCATCAAGTGCCGAATGAAAGTCGCTAGTGATAGACAAAAGTTGCGTTTCACAAGATAAATATTTTCTAAAGCCATGTTGAGCTGGTGAAATAAATGAATTAGATTCTAGAAAGTTAACGAGCTGCGTATAGATTATATGTTCAAACATATTACAGGGAACGCTGGTTAGTGAGATGGGTCTATAATTGATAGGAACGTGCTTATTACCAGATTTGTGCAAGGGAATAACTTTACCAATTTTCCAGTCGGCTGGTACCAATGAAGTCTCAAGTGATTGCTGAAAAATATGTGCAAGGATTACGGAAGAGTATTGATTTGTAGCTTTAAGAAATTTTGAGTTAATCTCATCTATTTCAGTCGCTGAGGATAGCTTAAGACAATTGATGATGTTCAGAACACCATCGGGAGAGATGATGATAGGATCCATTAATGGGAAGGAATCAACGTGATAGCTTGGGTTAGCACAGATGGAGGTGGTAGAAAAAGATCTAATGAACACTTCCTGGAACATTGTAGCGCATAAAGATTCCTCGATCACAGTTTCGTCTAGTGTTTTAAGTGAAATACATGAGGTTCTATCCCGGTGAAACAATACATTCCAGAATTGACGCGGATTATTTTTTAACATAGACGGTAGCAAATTGTGGAGGAAATTGACCTTAGCACTCTGAACTGCGCTCTTATAACACTGAGCAGCACTGAAGTAATTCTGCCAGCGAAGTGGGCAAGAGGTGAGCCTGGCAGCTCTAAATAAACGTATCTTTTTGTTCGATAACCTCAGAAGCGCCCTGTTGAACCATGGTGAAGTGGAATTTACAATTATGGTTTTCAAAGGTATATACTTTTTAGTGAGCGAAATCACCGCTTCCTTGAAAAGCGTCCAGTTAGTTTTAACAGAGCGCTCCGAGACGTTCTCAAGGAAAGTATCTAAAAACCTGGAAAATTCAACATTAATGGCATCAAAATTGGCTTTGCTATAGTCTCTGATAATTTTCTTTTGATTTTGTTTACTGGGGACCGATGCAACTCACGCTGTGTTCTTCAATATTCCCACTGAACTTCACTCACCAAAACATCTTGCCAATAATTAATGGCCGGAAGAAAGCTAGGGACGCTTCAGCAACCTTCATTTTAGCGTACGAAGAATATCTCTATGTGCGCCTAACATTTATGCTTTAAGGACTTAAAGCGGCAGGTCGACCAACACCACCAACAATAAGAATGGACTGCGACATCCTCCTTTTCGCCATTGGAACGCCGTCCCAGTCGGATGGCACCAACTCGGCACTTGGACCCGAGCCCTACGCCAAGCGCCCTTCGACGCGATTATTGGACACGACGCTCAACCGAACGCTGACGCTGCACTTTTGTCCAATTTGTATCTTCAGTTGATCTTACTATGGTGCAGCTCAATATTTTAGTGCGCAGGTTTTGAGTATTCTAGGTGGTGTTGCGTAGCCAGATACGCTGTTGCTTGTTTGCAAAAGCAGAACTTGTATTATCCTCACTAGACGGGTTCGGCACACGTCCACCAGGTGTCGACACGTAACCCCCATGATTAAAAAAAAAAGAATAAACAAATGGCCACTCGTGGGCACCGTTTTTCAGGAAACCCTCGTGGTGGTCGCGCTGCACGCTCCACACTCGTTGTATGGCCCTATACCAACCGGTCGACGGTGAGATAGGGATCCCTCTCTACCCAAGAGGAGCAGAGCACAGCACCGCAAACCTGGCAGAATTAAATAGCAACAGGCGAGGGGGGCAAGAGGAAAGGCCGCCATCTTCCCGAACGGAGTGACCCCGTGTGTTGCATTTTCTCGGCGACGCTAAACGGAGCGAGGGTCCACGGAAGGCGGCAACGGGTTCCTCAGAGCCGCTCCGCAGACACAACCAGTCCGGGTCAGCCCATGCATGACGATCGTTCGGCGGCAGCGGCGATTTCGACGTTTGACTGAGTCGGCGGGATTGTCGACCAGCGTGCTGCATATGCTGTCTTGTCAAGATGGCACCTCGGGTAAGATTATTTTTTTATTCTTCTTATATAGGCCTTCTTGACAACTTGATGTGGGATTTTTGTATACGGCACCATCGACGTGTTTATGAACCCCGGAAACGTAAGGATAGATTCGTGTACGTTTCTGGTTTCTTATCGATGTTGTCGAGGCAATCGGGTGAGCGCTTTCCGCCACCTCTAAGGCAATTGTGATATATTTATTGTCTAAAAAAGAAAAAAAACCTCGGAAAATGTATACGAAAGAAGACGGACAAACGTGTACCATCCGTGTTGATATGACCGCATTTGTGCTCATATATTTTCTACGCGGTCATTTGCCACAGATAAGCGCGAACTGGCTCCCTGAGGCCTTTGATGAGTTGTTCACCATATATAGGCTCCCTTCCCGAAGCATGTCGCCATAAGTAGCTACACGTATACGCGCCACAAGTACTACCCTCTCTAAATCTTTTTTTAACTCCCTCCTTTTTTTGTTACGTCTCTTTCTGGGTGATCTTTGAACCCTCCAGTGGCACATGAAATGTCTTAATGTGTGAGTCCGCCGAAATATTAAGCTATCCACAGGTTTGCGCTATATGGTGCTTGCAATAAGCTTAGCAATCATTCATGAAAAATATATATTTTTTCGAGACATCGACGATGTCACGCTTATAATGATACCATGTGTGTATATCAGAGTCATGGACTGCCCATTCTCACTGAAAAAGAACATCGATCAATCAACCAATAACTAGATCGATCGATCAATTGATCGATCGATAGTTTAATTAATCAACCATTCATTCATACATTTGCATTTAGGGAACTTTGACAGCGGATATGTTCATTTGGTTGAAGCGTTTTCTTAAGTTTGAGTTTCACCAACTTACTATAAGTTCCTGCTTGTGATTGTGAGCACGGTAAGTTGTTTAAGATTGGCTCTAATTCATTGTCAGGTTTTATAGAAAAAAAAAACGGTTCTTGCATTTACTCGCTGTCGTATCTCAAAGCGGCGCGCTGTCAAACGCAGTCAAGCGCAACATTGAGGATGGACCTTGAGCGCGATTAAGTTCCCCGTAGAATGTTTTTATCTGTTTTTTTTTTTTTTGTGCATGATTTGAGTTTGTCGGGTGCAGAAATGGCCTTGATCTCGACTCTTGTAACCATAATAAGACAGAACATCTGTGTCTACTATAACGCGGCACTCGACAACACCCTGGTTTCGATGTTTCTGCAACGTGAGGCCACTTTTCTATAGCTAGAGCAGCGCAAGCACCATCGAATGCAGGGAGATCCCTGCCCTGTCACACGGTCATAAAATCTATGCTTTGTTTCATCCTGACTTCCTATTTTTGTAACCATATGAACATACTTGTGCTCAATTGCACATCCTCCTATAAAAACAGAAAGAACGTGCAAATCCTACAGCCAAAGGTATTTTTTATGGCCAGTATGCGCAGACTAATTTCACTTGGAAATGTGTGCCTGCTTTTTTTTCGCGTTTATGTAATTTTGATTGATCTCTTTTGGCCTCGGGCAAAGCGACTGATCGCACCTTTCAGAGAAGGAACTAGCAAGCGCTGCAGCGCTTAAAAATCTCCTTGCTACAGTTATGAGAGCGTGCAGACATTATAAAGAAGCACACATTTAATGAAATTCTCTATCATTTCCAAATAACGGAGAGAATAAATGTTAGAAGCACCCTGAAGGCAACACAAAGGGCAGTAACATACCTTGACTTTTTAAGCGATGTCAGTCTTCAAAGTCCCAACTTCAAGACATAAGATGCACTTAAGCTCTTTCAGAGATTGAGTTTCGATGCACCGAAGTTTGTGTGCTTGTCGTCGCGCAAGTATAGATTTTGCCCAGACGCTTCGCGACGAAAATATACGTAGCTACTTTAAGTTGTTCAAGCGAGCATTGATTTCCCAAGACGCGAAGATTAGAAGGACGGAAGGGCGGCAGTGTGTGCAACGCGTAGCCGGCAGTCTAGTTTGTCATAATGTTGTAGAAAAATTGGACGCACTGGTTGCCGGGAGTGAGCGCATAAAATGGTCGTGATCACCGCGCCATCGGCGATAGGCCGTACAAGATCTATAAGGAAGTCTTTCTGTACCCGCGAGCGAGTGGCGAAGGAAACCAAACGCGGCGCTTCGTAAGTTATCCAGGGGTTCTTAATTCCTCCTAACCTCGGTTTGCTTTCAGATGTGGTCGGTCGTGGCACCTGCGATAAGAATTGGAACGGTGCTTTTCCTGCTCGTGCAGACCATCCACGCGGGTTTCACGGATCATGCAGGACAACTGTTACTACGGAGGCGTGAGTCACAAGCGGGAAACATTACTCTTCCTTGGGGCATAGAGATTTTCGCGTCGTGACCTTGCCTCGATCCCTCGCCGACAAATGATCAGTATTTACTGATTCGTTGTTCGATGGTGACGATCTGCGTTCCAAATCGTTTGTGTTTGCTGGTGCACCGGTGAACATTTATTTATTTATTTTGTTTAATGTCCAGAAACATCTCTATCCACGATAACGGTACAAGCAGACGTACATAGCCAGATAGATTACAAAATATTACAGTGGGTTACGTCACCGTTCGTGCCTCAACACATCGCTCATTGGACAGACCTAAAAAGAATGGGTGTACTTGGGTTCATCGCAATACCTGCTATTTCCGTGACATGTTTATTGCCTTGTCTTTCTTTTCAATTTAGCGGAATATATTTTTTCTCAGCCGGTCGAGAAACTTGGTTACAAAATAAAATGGTGTGTCTTATACCAGTGCCACACGTGCAACTCGAATGCCATTTACAACGAATGACATTTGTGTGATCGGCGGATCAGCTCGCAATTTGTCGCGAGTGGAATGCCCCACGCCCGGAGTGTGGCGCGCTGATTGGCCGTCCGCTCAAATGTCATTCGTTGTAAATGGCATTCGAGTTGCCCGTGTGGCTCGGGTATTATACGCGCGTGTAACATTAATATCTGTGAGCGGAAAAATAAGAGCTGCTTTCTTAACTTCCTGGTTTTATCAAATTATGTATTTTTGTCGACATTCAATGCTTTCAATGCCATTGATTTTACATATAAAATATGTAATGAAAGACTCATTTATTTATTAAGAATTCAAGAGTTTTTTTTTTCTTAGTTTTTTTTTTCTAAAAGAAAAAGACGATTCTGGTTTTTCAGCGCGGGCTCTTTAGATTCAAGACTGTGCACCAAACATCAAACTAAGTTTGCGCTACGACAAAAAAAAAAAAGGGTCTTAATAAATATACTGCACTCAAAGAAATCTAAAGCGTCCACTTCTAGCAAGGCCGAGCCGGTCGCTGCCATATACGGGAACAGTTCGGCATTTCACAAGGTTAATGATATGCTTTGACATAAAGAAATATTGGCTTCGACCTTTACCTTTAAAGTGAAATGCATTATAGGGAATGGGGGAGGGGATTGGTGTCGGTCACATGACGTATATTTTCCCGCTAAATTTAGCGAGGAAGCTGAATGAAGGTATCGGTCTCGTGACGCCAGGTCACGTGATGCCCATTTCCCGCGCTAAATGTACCGGGAAGACTGGATTGATGTCTATGTCACAGGACGTGAATTTTCCTGCTAATTTTAACGGGTAAACGAATTGATGTATAGGTTAAGTGACGTCAATTTCCAGTTAAATTTAGCCGCACAACTGAATTGATCTTTTGGCCATCGGGCACGAATTTTCCCGCTAAATTTAGTGGGGAAACTGAGTTGACGCTTAGTCACGTGCCGTCAAATTCCCAGTAACGCCGGTTTCCCGCCAAATGTAGCGGGGAAACTGACGTCAATTTTTCGCTAAATTTAGTGGGGAAACGAAATTCATGTGTATGATCCCGCGACATCAGGTCACGTGACATCAATTTTCCCACCAAATTAAGCTGAGAAACTGCATTCGTGTTTATGTCTCCTTACATCAATTTCCCATCTAAATTTAGCAGGAAATGCACGTACTGATAGACGAACGGACGAGTGAAATTTACTGATTAGGAGTAGCGTTAAAAGCATTTCATACTTTAAAGCAATCTGCGCTGAGGCACTGTGCATAAGGGTTCACCATGCTCAGCCTGCTGCTCCATACAGACGGGATTTTTTTTTTTAGCATACACATTCTATCTAGTTATTCGCTTAGCCCTCTTCGTAGATTGCAGGGATTGGCCCTCCCAAGTGCCTTGCCGGAAAGTATCCACTTCAAATGTTTAGGAGTGTAGCTCTGATGCCGGCCCAATCTTGCCCGCGCCATCCCTCAACAGTTGGTGGCTCTCCCACGGTCACGAACAAGTGCATGAAGTCCCTGGGGTGCTTCGCCTACGACGACATCTTCTATCACGTGATCCACCGACCAATCAACGTGCTTCCCGACGACCGGAAGCAGATCGCCACCAAGTTCCTGTTGTACACCAAGCGGAATCCGAACGAACCGGAGCTCCTGATTGCTGACGACTCGAACCTGAACGAGTCCTTCTTTGACGCTGCGTCAAAGAGCAAGGTCATCGTCCACGGCTTCATGGATTCGCTGGATATCGGCAAGTGGATTGGAGTGAGTTTGTTTTTTTAACGCATTTACGTAAGTTTATGTGCTCATCGGCAATCTATGATGCGAATAAAAAAATTGTATGAGGTCACAGTACAGGCAGAGCGATGGCAGCGACACCTTATGGGGTAACTGAAAGAAGGGTGAGCGCGCAGGCGATCTGGTAAAAAGATAATGTGACCTCAGACAGGGAAAGATAAAAAAAAAAAACTTATAAAAAAAAGATACATCTCTTTTTTCCCAGTCTCAGGTTATGTCACCTTGTGGAACCCTAGTGCGTAGTCCCCTTTCGAACTTCCATGCATTCATGTATTTTGCCCATTACTTGGAGGAACCATCGCAAATGTCTACTTTCTTTCTTTAAAAAAAAAAAGGGGGGGGGGGGGGGGGGGAGGTGGCAGAAACGAAATGTCGCCGCGTTCATCATCTCTCTTTACAGGACCGCGTTCATGCGATTTTAGTATTTTAGTATGGACTTTTTTTTTCTTCTTCTAGGTATTAACTGTAACAGGCAGGACGATATCAAATACACAATCCCCATCACAGGTTCTCATCCCGTCAAGTCACTGTCTATTAATAGGTTTCTCGAATTCCCAGACGAGAGAGGACGATGACTGATACGACTCACGATACTCCCAGATCATGAAGGACGAGTTCCTAAAGCACAGCGACTACAACGTGATCGTCGTAGACTGGAGTCACGGCAGCAGGCCCCCTTACACCAGGGCTACCGCCAATACCAGGGTGGTTGGAGCAGAACTGGCGCACCTCATCAAAGCCTTGCACGTGAGTCCCAGCTTCACCATTCCTATAATCACCGACAACATAAGAAAACGTAAGTCATGGCTTATATTCTTCACGGTTGTCGCTTCGTATCTTGTCCACACCGTTTTTTTGTTTTTTTTTTGCGTGTATTATTGCAGTTTTGCTGGAAGCATAGCGATGATCCTCGGGAATGTTCACGCTCCTATTGCTTGAGAATTGTTAGGGACGTTTAGCGCGGAGGTATTTCGGTGGCGTTCTTTAATGGTTTCCATCCGTGACGTCACGGCCAGGATTCGCTTCGTCGTGAGGTCACGAGTTGTCACCCTGACTACGTATCGTCAGTTGCGACGATAAGTTCAACGGTGCGTTTAAAAAACACGGTGGGAGCTATGGAGTCGTCACGTTCTGAAACTGAGGAAAAAGAAAAAGAAAAGAAAGCCAGGAAATCCGACTACAACGACGCATTTGGTCGCGCACGTCGAGGCAGATTAATGGTTACACTCGCAGTCTTGATTACACCCAGGTCGAATGCTTATTAAGATGTGCTGCATTGAGGGCAAGTAGAATCCCGGCTAATGTCACGTGAAATATGTTTGCCCCGTTTAAATACGGAGCGACGGCGTTGCACCGGACACCTTCAAACGTGCAAGGCTAAGGCCACGGAAGTACGAACTTCCGGTCGCATCAGTCGCTCTCCATTAAGGCCCGTTCACACAGTTGCGTTCGGAGCGACCACTACGCTTACGAACGAATGCAACCGGTTGGAGCGACAAGTTACCATAGCAACGAAGCGCCAAACGGTCGTTTCGTTCGCGTTCGTTCGCAACGCAAGGAGTTGAGCCGGGCTGAACTTTTTCGTTACGTTCGGGAACGACGGGAGCGACAGACCAATCACAGGTCAAGGAGCTCGGTCGCGCGCGTTGCATGCCGGTCGTTCCAGGCTCCTTCTATTTGCAAACATGGCGTCGGTGGTGATCGTCGGCAGGACGGTGTGGTGAAGTCTCATCGTTCCCCGTAAAAGGGCTATCCTTGACTGTGAATTTTCGTCGTGTGTCGTTAGGATAACCCAGCACGTACTAGAAGGGAAGATCCACCTACTTGTGCGGCGATCTCGTGGCGGCACTCTCAAGACAGCAGAAACGCCCGTGCCGTCGTGTTTGTTTACTTCGACTACAGTGGTGCTTTCTTAGCATTTGTGTCCTCAAACATCACCCGGATTTCTTTTTTGGCGCATTCCTTGCGTGTGCTCAAGTTCAAGGTATTACTGGTGCGTACCGTACAAAGGATGCGAATTTTTTACTCGTTTTCATCGCCCGAAAAAGGTGATTAGTGTTAGCAATCCTGAACGCTCGCATCGTCTGTCAAATTATATTTCTACGTTGCTATATCGTTGCTAAGATTACATCGTCTTTTATAATCGTAAAAAAAGGCGTGTGGCGAGATTTGTACTGTTGGCAAAGTCGTGTATTAAAGTCTTGATCGTCCAAGACGGCGTACTGCATCTTTTTCTTTTTTTAATGCACTACCCTGCAAGCGTATCCTGAAATAAAGAGTAATAAAGCTTGAGGTCATAGAAGGCGGTCTGTCTATTTTCTGTTACGCAAGTGAGTGGCAGCGCGTCCCCTTCTTTTTGGAGGCACCGCTGAAACAGCTGACGGCAACGGAGAGACGGTCGCCGTGCTGCCGACCCGCTGCGCTTGTTGCAGAGCAGGAGTGTACGCGCGGCGCAGAGCGATCGTTGCGGTCGCTCTGGTCACAACGGGCGCAGTCGCGGATAACGGGTTCGTTTTAGATGTCTGAACCAGCCTTTACACAGCTATTGTAGGCCGTAGCCGAACCCTCGGGCTGCTCCGGTGAGGACCCGCTACCCCGCGTCGGGCACGAAACCGTCCGCCATGTTTGTAAGCGTATAGCTGGGTCGCCTCCTATTGGCTACGAGCAAGAGCTGAAGCTCGTTTCTCATTGGCTGTTGCTTCGTATGGTTGCATGCGGTTGCATGTGTGTGTACACGTCGCGCACGGTTGTCGTTGAAGTCGCAGCGGTTGCATTCGTTCGTAAGCATAGTGGTCGCTCCGAACGCAAATGTGTGAACGGGCCTTTAAGCTCGCGCGGCAGTGGAAGGTACTTCCTGCGGACCAATCAATCTCCCGTTTTTTACCATATGACCCGCTTTCTGTGCGTGAGTACGTGCAGAGAGCTTGCTCACGTGGTGCAAGACCAACGGTTATGTGGTCCAGCGAGCACGTACCTCTCTCTCTTCGCCCTGTCGTACTCAACAGTGAACGTGGTGGTGCAAGGCTCTGTTTGTTAGTTGCCAGGCACGATCAGAATCTTATTTCCTGTACTTCAAATCGGGTGTACGTTTATCTATCTAGAACATGCAGTCTGAAAGACGCACACACAAAAAAAAAACAAAGAAAACATAACTCATCTGACGCACGTTGCACGAGCTTAGAAAGCAGGGGCATAGGAAGTTATTGGCGACGTGCGCGACCGAAAGCGTCGCTGTGGTCGGCCTTCCACGATTGGCCGAACGCTGACTATGACGTCGGAAAAGAATTTATCATCGGCGGAAATAAGAGGAATGAAAGAACTTTAATTTTGACGGTGTTGGCAGTGTTCCTTCGAGAGCGCAATGATTTCAAGCTTCCACGATGCTATTTACAAACACCATCGAATTTGTTTTCTGCGAGGTAATGACGCCACAAGGGGGAACCGTAGGAGGGCGCCGCTAAAACATCTGGTCGCTAATGGCAGGGGTGGGCTTCTGTCCCTGCACACCACCTTCTAATAACAAAGGCAGTGTGTTGACGGTCTCGGCGTCGCTCAAAAAAGGTGGTGCAAACATCGGATATGAGTGCCGCCTTAACGGTCGACTCACCCTCACGCTCAATCAAAGGGATCACGAATCCCAGCCGAACGTTGACTCAAACAGTCGTGCCCAATCTGCGTCCGCGTTGGCCTTTTAGAGCCCGTGCCGAAAATTTAGCACTCCGGCTTTGTTAACCTGAGAGGTGTTGCTCCGCAACTGCAGAGTGTTCACAACAAAAAAGACGAAGTTTTTACGTGATTGGTTTTTACGTGAACGTAGCCTTAGCGGTCCGAACGAGACAGCAAAGTTTCATAACTTACCGTTGTCTTATGAAAAAGTTATCAGCGATTTTCTAAAACAAATTTTACGGGAAAATGGCGGCCGACGGAACTCTCGAACACATGGGGACCTGAATGATGCCAGCTACCGAAATAGGGCAAAAACGCGTGCCCCATTTTCCCGTTGAAAATTTTAGAAAATCATTCGTTACATTTGAATGAGTTAACAGTTAGTTCTAGAACCTTAGCACCTGGTTCAGACCTCTAACACTACATATGGGAGGAGAACGAGTGTTCGGCGATGTGTATAATTTAATTTCGTGGCCAAAAAATATTTGCAAGTTTCTTTGTTTTTTTTTCTTTTGCGGGACAGTCTGAACGTTTCTAAGTAGTCTCTGAAAGTGCAGTTTTTCTTTTTCTCACGGTCTTTGTTAAGTTTGAGTTTGTTGCTAGAAAAATCGTCTTTCTTTTATTCTTTTTATTTTTTTCAGAACTCGACAGGTGTGCGGCCCGAGAGCTTCCACGTCGTCGGTCACAGTCTCGGTGCTCAGATTGCCGGCTACGCAGGGGAACGGCTCGACAAGCTTGGGCGCATCACAGGTGACCCGCGTCGTTTTTGAAGGCTAGTGGGACAGGAAGGAAGACACGCCGCGACGGCCACGCAAACACACACACACCCACACAGACAGACATGCCAAGACGGCAGTGACAGGTGGGTGCAGGAGGTACCGGATGTCGCGTTTTCATAGCCGTGCGTTACGAAAAAAAAACCCACACGATTTTTTGGGCACTGCGCAGGAACCAGACTCGCGTCGAGTGGATTATCGCAGCATGCGCTCAGACAATAGCAGCGCTGCCGCAGCGGCATGCACGTCAAGGCCGCCTGTCCGTGTATAAATTAGAATAGTGCGGTTCACTGGAGAATGCCCATGCCGAAGAAGGAAGCTGCTTTCCGACACAGCGAGGAGTGGGTCTCGGCTTGCCAAATTTCAAATCAAACGCTAAGGGGGGGGGGGGGGGGGGGGGGGGGGGACGTTTTTAGTTTGTTTGTTCAATCCCCCAAACGTCTTTCTGCTGATATCACACACACTCTGGTGATAGTTAGGGGGACAAAATAGGCTTAGAAGAGCGATGGAATGATATGTTTATCCTTTTAGACTTAGGCTACGTGGCGTAAGCTACCGCCCGTTAACAAAGGTACAGCAATTAACATCCATCCATCCATCCTTCCACCCCCCCCCCTCCCCATGTTTTATTAAGAACGCCGAAAAAAGGGCTGATAACACAACAGGGCGGGCGGATCCAGAACGCCGTAGAAAGTGCTGGAACTACACGTCAATCACAGGAAAAAAGAAATCATGTCCATTAGTTGTCATATTAAAGGCTGCTTAATTGAACTGGAGGTATAGGCCCTGCCTTTGGATGGTAAGTCTTATCACGTCAATGTCCCAGAAAGTACCCTCCAATTCAAATATATTTTTGTGAGTTCTTCCATTTCGTCCTTTACACTCTAAGAAATCTGGAGCGTTATACTTATTCGCAAAGCTCTCGCGAGAGAGCCAGTCGCTTCAACCTAGGGAGAAATCTCGGCGAATTACCAGGCTGAATCTATTTTTAGACCTCAAGCAACCGTTTGAGTTTATCTGCTATAGATGCGATCGTGGTACGAGATACGGTGGTGGTGTTTCGATCCCGGTTCCTGTCGAGTTCGTTTCTTTCAATGTTTCGCTTGCCTTTCCGCTTAAATTGGTTTGTATGTGCATCCGTATAAATAGCAAGGATGTAATCTTCTGTAATTGTTAGCCGCCTAATTCTCCTGCTGATTTTTGCTCGGGTTTATATAATGTTTTGAATAAAATACGTGTAAGGTCTATCTTAGTCTTTGGTGATTTTAATATTCCCAGCATGTCTTTGAACAAACTTATTTCTATGAGTGGGAGTAATTCTTCAGAATGTATTGCCTTTCTTAATACATGCTCTGATTCTAACCTGAATAAGCTTGAGAAATTGTCGACCCACACCACGCTGTTTACCGCAAATGCGCTTTCATTTAATTCAATTTTACTTCATTGTAATGCGTCCGAAGGACGCATTACACGTGAGGAGGTTTAAAACAAGTTGCAGGAGATTAAAGAACAAAAATTTCAAAACACAAAAAAGGGAAATGTGATTGCAGATACACCAAATGTCGTCAATCAAAGCGAAATGAAGCAGAAGTAAAGTACGAACAGAGCACAAAAGCTCTTCTACAAAAACAAAATAAAGGTCAATCATTATTCCATTTTGAACACTGGCCTCTAAATGAAATATGATTTCTATCAGTAACTATAAGATGAGGTAATACATTTCAGTCTCTGGTGCAAAACACTGAGGGAAAGAAAAGGAAAGTGTTTGTGCGACCCGAAAATGGTTCTATTTTGCAACAGTGATCTCATCTTGGCGATGTAAAACTGGCAGGGCGGCAGTAAACTGATTTAAAAGTTGTATCGCTGCAATGGATGCTATGAAAAAAAAAAAACGAGACATTTTACATCTTTTTTCTAGAGGAGAGAGTTTATTGCTAGTTACTTAGACCGAGACACTAGTTTCCGCTGAGTAGTTCTTGCGTATAAAACTTGCTGCTTTATTTTGTAAAGATTCCAGTCTCTGTAAAAGGTAAATTTTTTTTTATTTTTTTTTTGGGGGGAAGGGGGGGGGGGGGTTCAAATGGAGCACGCATACTCTACTTTGGCAAGAACTATTCTCTTGTAAGCGAGTAGTTTTGTTTCACGTTGGGCAATATATAATGTTTGCCGTAAGAAGCCAAGCGTTGGCAAGGAATAGCTTGTAATGTGTTCGGTATGCTCGTTCCATGATAGAATGTGTGTAAAATGTATTTCAACTACTTGTACGATGGTAGATGTTCCAGGTATTGCGAGAATAATGAACATTGTGATTATGTTCTTGCAGAAGACTTAGTGATGCACATTTGTTTGCATTTGCTTGTGTTGATGTTCATCTGCCGCATAGAGCACCATGAAGATATTGTATTAGTCGTCCTGAAGTATAATTGAGTCCTTATTTGTAATAGGTTTTCGCTAAATAACTCAATCGTCGGCGAAAAGCTTCATTGGGGAGTTTATGGAAGAAGGAAGGTAATTTATGCATATGAAGAATAACAGAGGTCCCAGGACACTACCCTGGGGGACACCGGATGTAAAAGCGGACGGCCGCAAAGATGATTGATTAATTTTTACTGTTTTTTTTTTCACGAGAGAAAAAAAAAGTGAAAGCCGTTTACAACTCCCTGTAACACCGAATTAGAGCGCAGCTCTTGAGGAGGAGGAGGGAAGGGTACTGGGGGGTCAGGTGACCTGGGGGGGGTCACGTGACATTGGGGGGTCACGTGACGATGCCAATGATGCCGTCAGTGACGTCACTGATGACGTCATCAGTGACGATGACGATGCGGATTCCGATGACGTCATCAGTGACGTCACTGATGACGTCATCATCGATGATGACGATGACGATGCGGATGTCAGTGACGTCATCAGTGCATCCGTGATGATGACGGTGACGATACGGATGCCGGTGACGTCATCAGTGACGTCACCGATGACGTCATCAGTGATGTAGGCGATGACGATGCGGATGCCGGTGACGTCATCAGTGACGTCACTGATGACGTCATCAGTGATGATGACGATGACGATGCGGATGCCGGTGACGTCATCAGTGACGATGACGTCATCGGGGAGGTCACGCGACCTCGGCGGGGGGTCACGTGACCTCGGGGGCACGTGACCCTGAGGAAGTGGTCACGTGACCTCGAGGGGGGTCACGTGACCTCGGGGGTCACGTGACTTTGGGTGTCACGTGACCCTGGGGGAGGGGGCACGTGATCTCTGGGGGTCACGTGACCTTGGGGGTCACGTGACCTTGGGATGACCTTGGTTACGCCGACGCCGACGGCGACGCCGACGCCGCTCAAGCCGGGAACGGGCCCCTAAGAGCTGCGCTCAAAAACGCAGTTGAAGACGAAAGGGTCGGTTTGCAGACATGGACATTTTGAAAGAAGGCGATGATAAGAAACATAATTGAATGCTTTAGCGGAATCAATAAAGATGATATCGGTCTGAGTCGTATGATGAGTATTGACGTGAAGATCGGTAACAAATTCGAAAAGCTGCAGCTAGTGCACGAATGACCTTTTTAAAAACCACGTTGATTAAAAAAAAAAAGTTACGATTGTTCAGGTGGGAAATTATAAGAATATACAAAACATCCTCCTTGAGTTTGCATGGCACGCTGGTAAGGGACATGTGGCGGTAATTCGTAAGGTCGGAATGGTCTCCTGGTTTAACGACCTAGTACTGACCACACATCCGGATCTCGTTCAGTCACGTTCGCTCTTACCGGGCCTATGCTGATATAAATTTTTGCGTCCCCAGCACTTTGCCTAGCATATCTAAAACCATAAAGTTAATAAGGGACTATAACAGAGCCGATAATACTTCAATCAATGCGGAGCTCGAGGCCTTTTCGCACGAGTTCTTTCTGAGGGTTACCGAGAGAACTACAGACGAAAAGTGGTTTCTAGTAAGTTACAAAGTAAATAAGATAACTAATCAGCAAATACCTTTTCGCAAGATTAAAAATACGCAATCAACTTGGTTTACGCCATCGTTAAGAAGATTAGTGTTGAAAAAAAGCGTTTTTTTAAGAAAGCCAAGCTGTCAAGGAATCCGGAAAGATGGGTTGCATTACATCGCGCCAAAAATTACTGCGCACGTGCGCTGTATCTTGCCAAGGATACTTTCTTTCAGGAAACACTTTCATCGTTGCTCGAAACCAACCCACGCAAACTTTGGCATGTGGTGAACGGTGACGAGAAAAAGCAGATCGAATTGACTACTGACAGTGAACTTGTCGTTCCGAGAGAAAGTTGTTGTACTGCTTTGAATTCTGCCTTTGCTTCATATTTTGTTGACGTTGCATCGCCTGTGTTTCCTCATATATCTACCTGTGATTCTTTTCCAATGGATTTTTAGTTATTGACAGGTATGGAATATGTAAACTTATTCGAAACTTGAAGCTTTCCTCGTGCCCCGGTGATCATGGTATTAATACCAAATTTCTAAAAAAAAAAAAAACAAGGAAAAACACTTAAGTTTATTTTTTGATATTACTGTCAAAGATTTTTTCTCAGCCATTAGAATCATCTTTGCTTCCGGGCAACTGGAGGATGGGGAAGGTGGTTCTCCTGCAGAAGAATGGTAGCACGCATTGTTTAAAGAATTATCGTCCCATTTTTCCAACCAGTATACTTGCAAAATTCCTCGAACATGTAATTAACAGTCATATCGTAGAGTTTCTCGAACTACATAGTTTTTGTTTTGTTCATAAAGAAGGCTTCAGAAAAAATTACTCATGAGATACTCACCTTTCATCCTTTACTAATGACTTATTCTCTGATATAGATAGTTCGTCAACTGTCATTTTCATGGACTTTTCTAAAGCTTTTAAAACTCTCTGCCATAACTTGCTTTTGTACAAACTAAGTCAACTTAATCTAGATCCTACCGATATCAAATGACTCGAATCTTTCCTCCCTAACCGCACACAACTTGTAAATGCGCTAATTAGCCTACCTCCCTTCCGTGCCATGTAATGTCTGGCTTCTCACAGGGATCACTGTTAAGACCTCTATTGTTTGTTATCTACATTAACGACTTACCTATTAGCACTTCCACATCAATAAAATTATTTGCAGATGATTATGTCATTTATCAAAACATATTACGAGTCCTTCTGATCATGTCCTTCTTCAACCTTACCGAGATAACATTAATTCTTACCGCCGAATTCAGAAACCTCACTCAAACTACACTCAAACTTAAAAGGCCCCTCCACTTCCTCGAGGAAGGCGCGAGGGCCGGCGCTGGCCAATCGCGACGGCGGATCCGTCCTCGCGATTGGCCAGCGCCGGCCCTCGCGCCTTCCTCGAGAAAGTGGAGGGGCCCTTCAGTTTGAGTGTAGTTTGAGTGAGGTTTCTGAATTCGGCGGTTAGTGTGATACGTGGCTCATGAAACTTAACACTACTAAATGCAAATTCATAAAATTTCATGTCATGCCTCTGACGCTACGCCAACGTTTTACTCACTTAGCAACGCTCTTTTAACTGAAGTTTGTTCAACTTCAGTTCATCTCGGCGTTAACATAACTGATAAGCTTTCTTGGGAAACTCATGTTGACTACGCAACAAGCAACGCAAATCGCACTCTCGGGTACTTACGGCGAAACGTTTCATTTGCCCCCTCTTGTTTGAGACTTTTGCTTTATAAAACTTAAGTTAGACTAAGATTTAAAGACGCGTCATTAATTTGGGACCCGCATTTAAACTGGCAGATTCTTAACGTAGAAGCTATCCAAAATCGTTCTGCGCGTTTCATCTTTTATAAAAAAAAAAACTTCCGCACTGCAAGCGCCACAGCAATGAACTTGAATTTAAACTTGCCCGATCTCGCTTTACGCCGTAAAATCTTTCCATTTTGACTCGAAATATATTATTTTAACCTGCTTTTCAGCATCTTACTTTTCCAGCCTCCTTCATGCATCTCTTTCCACAGCGACCACCATTTCAAGGTTGGCGTGCCCAACAGTCGAACCAGCTTGCATTTTTGTTCCGTCATTCTCACCACATGCAGCGACTGGAACCACCTCCCCGCCTCCATCGCTTCCATCACAGAAACCAACCTGTTCAAATCTGCCATTTATAATCATGCATTGTAACCCTGCCTATTTTTGGTGTCTTATGTTGTCATACCTTTTTACCCACTCTCTGTGCAATGCTTCGAACTTAAGAGTAAATAGAAAAACAAACATCTGCGTTGCGACACTGCGCATGGCTTGTCACCGTGCTCAGTGCCACATCACGGACTGTCTGTTTAGGTCTGAACATACTTTCAGCCATGGTGCCGAGCTTCCTTTCTAGATTGCAGTGACTGGCCTTACAAAGTTCTGTGCGGGAAAGTAAACTCTTCAGATTTATGAAAGGCAACACAATATAGTATCACTATACTGGTTATTTCCTTTTTGGAAACAACGTACGATAATGAAAGTGCCCCTGGTACGATACACAGAAAACTTCATGGATATCTGTTGATGAGATCAAGATCTGAATATCCACAGGAGGAAAAAGGAAAAAAAGAAACGACCTATTTGCTCTCTTTTTCCCACCGAGTAACAGAACTCCACCGCCTTGACGTCGTGGTCACGTGCCAGGTAAGATAAGACACACAAAATGGGCATGTTCGAGTCGACGCAAAGGGACGACATTTGATGTCCGTGCTGCCCAGGGCTGGACCCGGCCGGACCCTACTTCTTCCACATGCCACCACAAGTTCGCCTGGATCCCAGCGACGCTGCCTTCGTGGATGTCATCCACTCCGACGCGAGCCTTCCGTTCCACCTGTTCACCAACCTCGGCATCTTCAATGAGAAAGGCACGCCCCTATTGTCACAATCTCACTTCATCGCGCTTTCCGCGGTGTCTGCGTTGTGCCAGAAACGCGTCTCAGACCGTGGTGTGTTTAGTCAACACCATCTTTTGTCAGTGGCACCGGCTAATACTACATTTGGCTCATTACATTACAGTGTTCTAGGCCGCTCTGAAGAGCCGATGAACGCATGGTCGAGTTGGGAGCTCTAAAGGTATTCGCACTGGTTCTTTCAGAGCGTGGTCAAATCGTCAATTTGCGCCGTCCGTCGACGATCGTAGCGCCGTGAGGAGGGAACTCCGACTTCAAAGTGGGAGCGGTGGGAGAAGACGCGAGAGGACCGGTCACGTGATTCCAGTCGCTTCCGGAGTTGTGTTTGAAAGAGAAAGAAGCCATATCGGCTTCTTTCTCTTGTATTTGTTTGTATACTTCACCGAACCAGCTGTGCTAGTCGTTTTAACGCTTTATACGAAGGAATTGTGCCAACTGCGTTTCGACGTTCGAACGTCGAAACGCAGTTGTTTAATGTAAGTGGGCAGAGTTAGTGTTGCTGTAAAAGTAATAAGTCGTTAGCTGTTAGTTCTTTATACAGCGGCAGGTTAGTCTACCAGAACATGACAACTTTGTTATTCACTGTGGGTGAGACATTTAGTCAGTGCAGTGCAACTGCTAGCCCTTTAACATGTATCACGCAGTAGTGATACACGACTGCCACGCCGGTACGATATTCATCCAAATCGAAACGGGCAGGGGTGGGGATTGAGGCCAGAATCTGTTGGTTCCGCAGCGTGAACTTTCGCTCCACGTTCTCCGAGCTGGTGTGCGCTAGCCCATTCGGCCACCGATCCCCTTCGGTGCTGCTGTCCTACGTAGCGGACAACAAAGATAGTACCAGCTCGGACAATGACGACGAGAGTCATGTTTACGACTATTGGGTTTGAGCCAAACGGGCGGGTGTACACCAAGTCGGACCAGTGTGTCACAGGTTGTTCAGCCCAACGTTCTTAGATCTATCATTTGACAAGTTCCACGGAAGAGCAATGGTCGAAACCGGTTCTTTGTTGCCCGCGCGCAAGCAGGTACGAAGCGCCCCAGCGGCAATGCCTCCACGGGCAACGGAGACATACCGTTTTTGAGCGACGTACTTTTTGCGCTAACTTTTGCGCGGGCAATATATTTACCATAAAAACCAAGACGAAACACTTTTCCACCGCAGGCAATATGCATTCAACGTTCCACCACTGATAGTGCAACCATTACCACCGAGCGTACTTGCCATGAAAGGTGCCAGGATTTCTTGAATTCTTGTCAACTGATTTTCTTCCAGAAAAGTTGGTTCCGCCTCGGTGGCAGTGGTTTGGTGTTTGGAGCTTCTTACCGTCCTTGTGTGGCTTTCGCACTGCCGCAGCTACTGATACTCGTCACGTGTTAGAGTGATGCCTCGTTAATACAACACTTCCGTTCCCCCCAAAAAGCGTCCATGACGTAAGTTGTTTAGAATAACGAAGAAAGGCTTGCATTAACCCAGTTTGTCTTCAAAAATGTTGTCTATATACGAACGGAACGCCAGGGCGCAAACAAGCTGGCGGGGAATACTAGACTTAATTCAACGCCGAGACTACAGGAAGTTAGACTATGTGCGTGTGTGTGCGTCGTTTTTGCTTCCTTCCGTCTCGGAATTAACTTTTAGTTGCTACGCGTAGTAAGGCTTCCGTATTAACAAGACATTACTGTAAGTCGAAAACTATTTTATTTTCCCAAAATCTCTAAACTTATCGAGCCTACATAAATATGCCAGCTAAAACGAATAGTTCAAAGATTAGTTAGCAAAGTGTAGTGGGCCTTGAAATAAGCTTTGGGCTGAAATAAATTATTTTAGATGGCGATTTTACTAAACGCATATCGCTTAGTGGGCCTAAAGAAAGATAGTAGAAAGTCGAAAGCCTGCTTTTGGTTACAAAATTTTGAAAATATAGCGCACTATTTTCTACCTACTTTCCTTCGAAGGCTATCCCCCTTTTTACTGTGATACATACGCGGTACCCAAAGCCCCGAAGCACGTCAGCCGTCACTCGAACGTATGCGCTTGTCAACAAATATCTGGATTCGCGTTCGTGGCCAGTGAGTGCCCTAAAGGAGCGTATCATCACTTGCAAATGACAACTTCCATGGCGTGCTTAAAAAGCACGGTGGAAGCTTGCGCACCACAAGCCGATAACGACCAAGTAATTTCTCGTTTCGCTTTTGAGTTGAGGAATAAAGCTAAGAAGGAAGACTTTGAAAAAGCGTTTCATGGCCCTTTTAAGCAACTAGCTGTTTCTTTTACCCAAGCCTGACGTCCATTGGGGTCGATGAGGTTAATTATTCTGCTAGAATAAATTCTTAATTTACAGTGTCCTCCTTGTTTAGAATGTTTTCTTTCTTAGAAGAAAAAAACACCCTATATAATGTAATCATATGTACCTACACTAGAGCCACTAAATGAGCTAAGCCCTAACCGGTACTCTATACTCCAACATGGCTGTGGGCCCGCCATTTTGGTGCTTGTGCAGAGCAGCGGTAACTGCCGATCGTCATGATTCAAAAGTGCGACTTCCTCAGCATTAGGTTCGGTGTTAGAAAGTACATGTAATATTGTTTTGCTCTGTCGCGAACTGTCTAAACATTTGTGGATAGCGGAAAAGCGTTTTTTTGTGATTTCAGATAAAGCTTAAGATAACTGGCAACAATGATCTTAAGCATAAAATGGGCAAGTGTCGTTACTCTGAAGCGTTGCTTATTTAGTGGCACTAACCTACACGACTGGCGCAAGCGCTTTGAGCAGAATACAAACACGTCGATAGGTTTAAGAAAAGCAGCCCGATAACGCTCAAGCTTTTTTCTTCGTGATTCGGTCTTCGGTTTTCTCAACGGCTAAGGGCCTGTCGAAACAGGACACTTCAGAAATCGTGAGACGACACGACTCCGGCAAAAATGGTGGAATTTAAAGCGTCTGGCAGTCCGGCAAACCGATGTCTCTTTAGACGCCACCGACGCAACATCACAATTTTCCTCCTCGCGTCCTTCGCTTTTCGGTGACCTTGGTGCTCGTCAGACTTGACATCATACGGCTCCTGCCAATGCTGTTCATATGTTCTGCCGGGCCCTCGTATCCTTGGACGTGTTCGAAAATTTACTTGATCTTACTCTAGGGTAAAGATTTGTACATTTGCCTTCGAAAACCTACCAGCGTCCAGCTTCGCTCTATCTGTGTAATCAGGTGGCACGACTCGCCAGAGTGCCTCGGATCTATCAGGGTAATATTTCGAACACAGCTCTTTCCTTTCCCGATTTCGAGATCTGAAGAGCAGCGGAGGCCTTGAGGGATTGACCGACAGCCAAAAAAGCTTGTGAGTGACTGTCCGGACCCACGTGAGGAGCATGCCCAAGGACCACATGAAGTAGTCGGGCGAAATTGGACGAAAAAACTCCACCCCCCCCCCCCCCCCCCCCGTAAAAAAAAAAAAAGAAAACAGACGGAAGCGGATCGGTGCACGACTTATGTCTGAGTCATGTCGCCTGTCGATTTTACAGCGAAGCTGTTTATGGCTAAGGTTCCATGGATTTTTCATGAGCGTCAACAAAAACTCGCGTGCCCTCTCTTTGTCGTCGTTCCAAGCGCTTGCGTGCCTAGTTTCCTTCCGCTCGCCCGGGGTGGTGGTCCCACTGCGCGTGTCCACTTTCCACCGGGTGGCGGTCTCGTCGCGCGTGTTTAATTTCCTCCGGCTCCCCGAGCAACCTCGAAGCGACTATAATTCGTACCTTTGCTCGAAATTCTGTGTCACGTCTGTGTCATGTGCTAAGCAGCTTCGCTCATCCATTTACACAGAGTGGATGACTCATGATTTTTGAAGTATCCTATTTAGATGGTTCTTGATGCTGCAACGTGATTGGATCTAACGCGATAAGAAGGTGCTTGGGGCTGGACACACCCTGCGTGTCATCAGCTGCCAGTGACTGTGGACGTGTTTGCTAAAGAACCGAATTGTACACGCAGCACACTCTAATAAATCTGGTGTGCTGACTCTCCCACAAAGCACTTAAAATAAAGTTATGTTTACTTGAATGTAAAATTAAGGTTTTCATTCGCCAGGATCCGATCCCTAATTAGAATGCAGCAATCTCGACTCCCAAGTGATTTGTGGCAAAGTCGGCGCCCCAAATATCTTAGAGTCCACGAAGTTCAGCTACACTTCCAAGCACCTCTCAGCATGCCTATTTTTCAGATCGGTTCTTTCCAGGCTTCGGCATCGACCAGCTGGTGGGTCACGTCGACTTCTACCCGAACAACGGCAACAAGCAGCCCGGCTGCCGCCGACAGCACCTCGAGAGCCTGGTCCTGGAAGGGATGCTCGAGAGTGTGCGACGCCTGGCGGCCTGCGACCACCAGCGATCCGTGGACTTCTTCACGGCCACCATCAACACCAGACTCTGCCTCCCGGTCGGAATTGCGTGCCGGTGAAGTGTGGGCCGACTCTTTTCTCGCTTACGAAAAACAAGCATTGTGCAGCAGATTGGTCACACCTAGCAGAATCGTCGTACTAAGAAAACGTACAACGGTCACGCAATCACGTTATTGGTGCCACGATGAGTCGCGTGACCCAATGACGAGTACGGGTTCGGTGTCTCTAACGATCCTCCTACTGGAGTCTTAACAAAGTACAGAAAAACCTTTCCCACGATTTCCGCCTGATGACGTCACAAAAGTGCCGCGCTGTCGCCGACCGCGATCCTGGCGGTGTCACAAAAGCGGTGGTAGACGCCTGTTTCTGCTGCGGGTCCCTCTTCAGCTTGACATCTCACGGAAGCTTCAGCCAGATAGGAGTTGGGACGCCACGACGCCAGCTAGCGACACTCGCGTTCACTTGTAACCGCTTTTTAGCCAGAACTTCCGCGACCATCCGCTACGATCGCGATATCCAACAGCATGCGGCTCCGGCTTTTGTGACGTCATTCATTGCCACTTCGGGACCACCTTCGATGCATGGGTGGGACAGGACGCTAACCCCACCCGTCGAAGACGCGGTCCCAGGCACTGTAGGTTTACCTAAAAAAAACTTGTGCAACGGTCACGTGGTCACGTGGTTCGTGCCACATGTGCCGCGTAACCCGGTGACGAGACGCCAGGTCACAGCGTCATGAGATACGGTTTCGTCGTCGGTGTAAGTCGCATTCTTATGTCGGTCTTTACCTACACCGTCAGACCTATAATATAGTCTGCGTTATCTGTCTGCGATTTTAAGCACCAATCTCTGTTCAGATATGCAGCACAGCGCTAGATAAACGCTATTAGTCAGCGCTGAAGATAGCGCCGACTTTGCTGATACAGGACTGCGTCAGTTCTAAATTACGTAAAAGTAAGTGCGGCATCATCGCTGTTTTTTTTTTGTTATTTTTTGTAAGTTTATTGTTATAATGTATGTGTGAACCGGCCTTATTAATAGTTCTCCTATTATGTGTGGCGCATTCTTATGGTTACCTTTCGTGACGTCATTACCTTGTGAACAACAAGTTTGAAGGTGTTTGTAAAGAGCATGGTGGAAGCTTGAAATTATAGCACTTTCAAACCCACACTGGCAGCACCGTCAAAATCGAAGTTCTTCGATTCCTCTTATTTCCGTCGATGGGAAATCCTTTGCTGACGTCATAGTCGGCATTCGGCCTATCGTGGAAGACCGATCACAGCGACGCTTTCGATCACTCACGTCGCCAATAGTCAGCACTCTCTTAAAGGGGCACTGGAAAGGGACGAAGACAACCAAATGCTGCTTGAAGGGCGTGCCTACTAGCGTCAAACACGAGCGCTCAGTGACGACATTGGTCTTGAGCTTATGACGGCATAGAATTTTAGAGGTAAGACTGGCTGAATGAGGTGAACGTGACCCCTTCTGATCCTTTCAAGCCCTTGAATCTCACTCACACTTTGCTTGGAACACCCGTAAAACGGTGGGACGTTCACACCTTTACATCTGAATGTGAAATTTAACAATTTGAAATATGGCACACGGTTGTTTCACGCTCTTGTCGTTTCGTTTTTTTATTGATTCAGACCATGGGCGCCATGAACAATAAGAAATGTGCTCAAAATTCGGAACTTCTTTCACCTATTATGTTCAAAACACATCAGCCTTTTCTTCTTTTCTTTTCTTAAGGTAGTGCTAGAGTTTTACACACTAGTTCGAGCGAACACGATGCAAATATGAAAATTCCAAAACCGCTTTGCAGGGCCCCTTTAAGCGGAGACTAGAGGCTTCGCCTTCAACGCGAGCTTTCTGCCCTTGCTAACTCAAGCGTGAACGCGCACGTACTTGCAACCAAAGCACTGCGGAAGGCGGCGACCTTGTGCGTAAGACGGAGACAAACAGAAGCAGCCCTGATAAGCACGTGCGCTCGTGGATTGCATGCACCGCTGAAGGCCACATGCTCCCGCTTGTACCTTCGGCCTCGCTTGAGCTTAAAGGAGTTGTGCAACAGTTTCAGTGCTTTGCTTAAAGTTGGTGTCTCGATCTTTCTGAAGTAAATAATAAAAAAAAACGGTTTTGCCTGCATGTCCAAGTTTTTATTTTAAAAATGGACAAAAATTGAGGTTTTCGGCACCTCTCAACTCCTTCACGTGCGCTGTGACGTCAATGGGGAGTCGCGCGGGGTTCCGGCGAAGCTCTCTCTCTAGAGCCATCAGTGAGCAGCGAGAAATCATCCGTTCGCGACCGCGTGACCAAGACCTGGTGGGCGCAGCGCGAACAATATGGTGAAAGGAGGAAAGTCTCATCCGCGTCCGGCCATACCCGTCCGGCCCTGCCCTTCTCCCCCTCCGGCTTGTGGCGACGTTTCGCGGTAGCAGATAGAGCTGACGGTTTTGTGGACCTAGGATAGATGGCGCCACTAAAACTCCGTATAATAAAAGTTTTATCGATGATACCAGGTTTTTGACGCATTTATATTTATGTTGGAACGACAAGAATTATAGAAAAGTTACCTTTGATCGAGCAGGTTTTCGCACAACTTGCTGTCTTTCTAGAAGACCCCCATTGAAGTCATGCCGCGTGTTTCGCATGGCCGCCGCTCGCGGTTGCAGGTCGGGGAATATTCTAAGTTCTGCCTCGCTATTACGCGGCGGAATCACAACATTTGGATGAAAGGAGGTGTGTTTTCTGTTATTTGTGACAAGATGAACAATATCAAAAGCAGAAGATGCCGGTTCTTTCAACGTTAAAATTGTTGCACAGCTCCTTTAAAGTGATACGGAGTTTAATCTCGGTGAGAAGCTCGCTAGGTGCGTTTCCGTTTCCCTCACTGTGCGTAGTTCTCTTGCGTAACTTCTCGCCGCGAATAGATCTCGTTGCTCCTGAAATAAGCACGAACGATTGCAAGCTTGCCCCACCATGTGGGCAAACATACCTTCGCGCATCCTGCACGTGCTTGAGTCTTGTTGATGACGGCTGTTTTTACGTAGCTCGAGCAATACCTTCTAAAAGACGAGACTTTCCCTCCTAAATGTCACTACTCCGGAATACGCACAGCGTCGCCTAGCTTGCGTCAGCATCGCCGCAGGTGCGTCTCTCTGCCTCTCAACGAGCGCGAAGCTGGCACGGGGCTACGCCAAGACGAACGCGGCTGCAGCACAGGTGAAGCGGCGTGTTTGCTGCTAGTGGGAACGGTCGAGGATCCATTACCAATGACGTCCTGTTCAAGCATTGCCTTCTATGGTGGTATTGGCTCAAGAACCTCTCGGTTCAGAAGTGTGAATCGGTATAGGAGGGGAGCAGTGGTAGCCGGGTTCTTGCTGAAGTGCAGGGCAGTCTTGCGTGACCCGGTCCCTTCACTTCGCTTTCAGGACGTGGGAAGACTTTGTGGCCGGGCGCTGCGGCGGCTGCGTGTCCGGAAGAGGACGATGCGCCGTCATGGGTTTCCTCGCGGACCGAATGCGGAGACTTCCGAGGAACGCCGAACCCGTCAAGCTTTTCCTCAGGACGAATCCGGAACCGCCATATTGCCGTAAGGGAATCCGCCTTCCGGGCGTACACCCGGCAGACAAGACAGGGCTCCTTTTTTTTTTTTTTCTCTCTTTCTCCAAGAGGAAGGTTTCGGCCAGAAGTCACTGGAAGTATGTTGTCTGGAGAGTATCCTCTTCGACTGGCGTGTTTATCGCGCTCTCGTTTTGTACTTCAATTTCGAGCTGATGGTGCCACGAGCGTGTACCGTTGCTCTTTGCCGGGATTTTCGTGGCAACATAGTATAGGTAGTTGTAGCTTAGCGTTGCCGTACGAACGGCCGCTGCTACCCTAGGTATCATAGGATTACGCTTTGACGTCGAAGCATGTTTCTCAACGCTCGCCAGGCACCATACAGTTGCCACAGTAGCCCGAGGTAACGCTTTGATAAGAGGGCCTAGTATTAAGAAGCGTATGTGTGTAAACGTAGAGAGCTTTAAAAAAACAAACAAATGCAGGGTGTCACAAAGAAAAATTTACAGTTTCTTTTTTTTTTTTTTTATCGCAAAAATAAACTACGCTGTGCCTAACGCTTATCTTCCACACAGATGTAGCACTAGAGGCCGCAACCGGATGCCAAAGTTTCAGCCCGGACGGACACCTTATTGAAAAGTTATAAGTGATTTTCTGAAAATTTTAATTGGAAAATAAAGCCCAGTTTTGGCCCGTCTTCGGTTTTTGGTGCCATAGAGCCCCATGTATTCGAAAACTCCGTCCGCCGACATTTTCCAATTCAACTTTTTAGAGAGTCACTTATAACTTTTGAATAAAGTATCGGATCGGACTAAAACTTTTCATCTGGTTGCGTCCTCTAGCGCTACCTTTCGAGATGCCTAGTTTATTTTTGCGGTAAAAAAGCCCTGTATTTTTTTTTTTTGGTGACAACCTGTATATCAAGAGTCTTTAGATGAAAGTTTGACGCCTGCTACCCGTTTCGCTGTAGCTTGCTTTGAAGTGGGCCAGTTGATAGAACTTTCCAATAACCACAGGTTGAGACACCGCGACGACTGCGACAACCCCTGCCATTACACGGCTGCTGCTATGACGTATATCGTGCGACACTGCACGCTAAACACGCGATTTAAAAACGCGTCGCCAGCACCATACGGAAAGTGGTTGTGGTCTGTGGACACTCGTGCATTAAGAAGCGTTGGAGCGAGCCGATATAAAAACAACAACAACAACAACAGAGGTTTAGAAATGCCAAGCATTCCAAGGATCCACGGAATTTGTGAAAGGGAAAACGTCTTAAAAGCCGAAAAGTCCACACGCACCAACCCACGTTTGAGACTCCGCACCAATGCGGTGACTTCGGTTTTAATGCGAAGCGTGCCTATATAGTTCTTGCAGCCAAAAAAGCCTGTTCATTCGAAATGAGTCACTGTACGCACCATTCCAATAACTTACCATGATTAATTTAAACCAAAAGAATAACAGGAGAATATATATATATATATATATATATATATATATATATATATATATATATATTCATTCATATGCACATATTCGTTTATTTATATATATATATATATATATATTACATTTGAAGGAAGAATAACAGGGACAGGCAGCGCCTCTCTTCCACTGTAAAAAAAAAAAAAAATAATCCTCCTTCTGCCCCACTCTCCGGTTAAAATAATCATGGTGAACTTCCACCAGCTGGCCTGCACAATGACCTATCTTTTTTTTTTTTTTTTTTTGATTCAAATAATCGCTTTGTGCGTGAAGTCGCCTTTGTCTACTTGGCAGAAGCTTGCACTCCTAGTCTGCGCAGTAGCCAGCGGTTTGTTTAAGTTTTTAGTCTTGTAAACATTGAACTATGGTAGTTCGCACATTATCAAGGTTGTGAGCGTTTTGCAATGGTGTACCCGGTCTCAGAGGTTCTAGGAAAGGTTCAAAAGAAGATAGGCTAAAATTAAAGGCGGTGTGAAATTCAAATGTTTCAGAAACTAAATTTGTATTTCAGTTGGAAAGAGCGATGAATGAAATTAACCCTTCTATACATTATTAAAAAAAGATGCAAGCATTTGCAAAATCATTGCCTTTCCGATCGCAGTGTAACATCTGTGAACTGGATCAAGAGAAATCTTGTGATCGTCGAGACATTTCAAATGAAATAAATAAAAATCCGAATACTAAACTATCTTGGAATTCTTTTCTTCATTTTGTTAAAGACAAATTCATGGTTAAAAGATCGAGAAAGAAAAAACTTTTTGTACTACCGATCACAGTGATATACTATATTGTGTCGAATTGTTCTTTTTTCCCCTAATATTCTATACCCCATTTCACCTTATGTTGTACCGCAGCGAAGGCTAGAAGCGCGAGCTCATAGCGTTTGCAGCTGCCCTTGGTACACGAGAGCTTTTGCCGCCGAGGTGTGCCATTGAGCAAGGAGCTCGCGCTTGTAGCCTTTCCTGTGTTACAACACAAGGTGAAACAGAGTATATTTGAATGAAAATGTCAGTGCTTGTTATTGATTATGCCCTTTATGTCCATAGTTTTTCAGTACCAGATTATCGTCAAGACAACCAAGTCCGTGCCACTGTGGGATCTTTTCGGTGAGGTGATGCTCACCTTGCCAGGAATTGGACAGAAAGTAGCCATCCGGATGAGCAAAAGGTATTTGAACGCCAAACTTCAACTCCTGACGAAAAAACTAACTTTATGGTAAGGGTGTTCAAAGAGTCTTCTAGAGTTTCTGCCCTTATTTTTGCACGTTTCGTCAGTGCGGTACGACTGCTAATTTTTCGAGTGCAGCGCAACTGAAAATTTCACAGCCCATTTCAAAATGTTAACCAGGGGCCCTATGTTGCGCCTTTTTGGACTCCAGCGGCGACTATAGAGAAGGAAGTGACGTCAACAGCGCAGCAAACGCAGACTGGATGTTGATTGGTGAGAGAAGCTGATGACGAATTTTCGCAGAAGAAAACAAAGAAAAAGTGAGCTTTGTTTTCTTCTGCGGAAATTCGTCATCAGCGACTCTCACCAATCAACATCCAATTTGCGTTTTCTGCGTTGTTGACGTCACTTCCTTCACCCTAGTCGCCGTGGGAGTCCAAAAAATGCAACATAGGGCCCCTGGGGTCTTTAACGTGCTTCGTGTAGTAGTGGTACACGAAGGTACGCCGGTACAACACATTTAGATGGTAACGAGCAGAGGTGGGGATTGAACCAATGTTGCCCCGATTTAGCAGCGCGACCATTCGCGATGAAGAACGCGCTCCACATCAATATAATTGTTTTTTGTTTTTGTCATTATAGGCAAGGCAACTGTTTACAAACTATAGGTACTCTGCTTACATTCTGTATGAAATCTTCCTGGCCACGCAGTACACCTCATGAAAAAGGGGAGCGCGACTTAGTCCCTCCGGGGGACCAAATGCCCCGCCACAACCATTAGTCTCCTGGGGGACTAGTAGGGAGGGGAGCAACTTTTGTGCCCCTCCCGTTTGTCTTTCAAAGTTGTATTCTCAGGATTAACCTTTGCACTTTTTCATTTAGGCCCTGGTACTAAATGTTGCGCCCTTAAATTTAGACCCCTGAGACTAAAAGTTAATCCTCTACATTTGGTCCCGAGCCTAGAAATTTTCTACCCTTGCTTTTAGCTCTTTTTAAACTAAAAGTTGTACTCCACAAATCGCGCTTCACTGAAGAAATGTGCTTCGCGCAGGAATACTGGTTGTCCAGTTTTCTGCAATCTCAGAAACAAAATAGTGCAATTGAAATCAAATGTAGTTTTATTGGCCTCGTAGGTACATAAAATATTTAAGTATAGCCAAGGTCGAACTTTCTAAGCGGCAGAAAGCACGGTAAGACCGAATTCCGAAGGGTGCACTTACGTCCACGATTCCTTAGACGCTGCCACGTCTGTTCAAAGTTCAAACCGGTCGTGGCCCAAGAACCGTTTCATGGGGCGCTGAATTCTTGCCTGTTGCAAGAGATTTAGATTATTAGTAACACTGGCAGTGTGAAATTCCTAATCGCTCGACAAACGTACTAGATGCATAACACACTTTGAATAACAAGTATGCTGCGTAAGTGCTGCAAGGGTTCACATAAAGCGTGCGACCTATTCGCAGAGGACCAGCGCAATATACGGAAGTTTTTGTGCATCGTTTTTAAAGGCCCGCTGCCGCTACCGGTACGCGCTTTAGAGCATGTCTCGAAGTGGCAGCGCAAGCTCTACCAATAGCGTGGCCTGAAAACATTGTCTACTTATACCCTAGTTACACAAGCGTTCTTAACTGTCATTAAGCCAACGAGTGTCGACATCTCCCAACTGTCATTGAGCTGAACTAAGTTGTCCGGTGTTTACACGGCACATAGGCCTAACAACGCCAGTTGTCAGACGCGCGTCAAGGAACAGCTGAGACCGTAACAAAGCCAAAACTGATGTCACGTATCGTTTTATTTTTTATAGCGATGCAAATAAATTATATGCACACTTTTGATTCATTATAAACACCTAAAGCAAAATGAAATTAACATCCCTTTTGTCTTTAGGCTTAAAAAATGACAATCATAACGTTTCACTTGAATTCAAACAAGAAAGACAACGAACATCTTATCGATAGCGACATTATAACGGCCGCCCTCGCTGAGATTTGGATTTTGCGACGTGCTGTGATATTTCTAGCGGCAGCTCTGGCCCCGAATCATACCTCTTCCAACAATATTTGCGGCTACGATACTTTGTAGATACCTCCCCCAATCTTCCACAATAGTAAGTGCTTCGCTGTCGCTGGCCATGGCCGGCAATGCCAACGTTACTGGAGCAAGCTTGCTCTAGTAACGTTGGGCAGTGCGGAGGACGCCGCCATCTTTGACTCTATTAAGGCAAAATCTAATCAGTCATAGTTTCACCTAGGGTGCCTCAATGTCCTTCTGTTTAGAGTGATGCCACCCTTTGTAGTACCCGATGCCGACAGCAAGCGCTCACGGGGAAAATACAAAGAAATCAACGAAAACAAAATGTCGCCATAATACAGTCAACGCCACAAACGCGTGCAGGGCCACGCTCTTTCACGCGCTTCTGAACAAAAAATAAAAATAAACGTGTGGGACAAAATGGCGAGATGCCACCACCCTAAGCAAAGCGCACATGAAGGCACCCTAGTTTCACCTTATGTTGCACCGCAGCGAAGGCTAGAAGCGCGAGCTCACAGCGTTGGCAGCTGCCCTTACAGCACGAGAGCTTGTGCCGCCGAGATCTGCCCCAGAGCAAGGAGCTCGCGCTTCTAGCTTTTCCTACGGTATATCATACGGTGAAAACAAAGTATAACTGAGATAGCACAGCTCAGTTGAACTGAATGATCGTTAGCGCTTAATGACAGTTGGAGCTGCCGTGTAACTCCGGCCGATTACGATTAAGTCAACTGTCGGTGGCCTGACGACAGTGAAGAGCGCTAGTGCAAATAGGGTATAACACTCTATTAGAAAGTTTTAGTTGTCAGTACGCTCTGGAATATGACCCCAGCGGGCGCGTGCTCAATCTCTACTTCAAACTGACAGCACGAGCTCCTGCTATAGCAACGCGAAAGTCTAATGTACAGTTGACTAAAAGTTTCTATCATGTTCAAACGGCACTTGCCAGGCTCTGCAAAAGAAAAATGAACCATCCGTTAGATTTGACGTTTCGTCCGCTTTTATAAGGTAACCGCGCACGCTATTGAATCTCTCGTCATCTGTGTCTCATAACAAAATCAGCACCCATGGTACCAAAAAGAATAGAGCATGGTGCGCGCTTTGTCAGCTCGAGAACGCTCTCCAGCTGAAAAGAAACTTTCTCAAGTCGCAGAGAAGGAATGCATGTAGTAAACAGAAGTACTTCGGCATACCTTAGTCGAGTTCCCTTGACTTGTTACTTCAGAACGAATCAGGAGCAGTGCCGCAGCACCGCTACTCTAAACCGGGTCCGGCCATCCCGCTTCGAGAAAGCAAAATGGCGACCAAAAGCAATGGACTTTTTTCGAGAAGCGTTCTGCGCACGCGCGAGCGCCCGATGCCAAGCATCGGAAATCGGCCCGAAAAATTGAGGAAATTCGGAAGGAGGCTGTGGATCAGCGAGTAGAACACGTGATTGCAGCATATATATAATTGGGTTACACAAAAAAAAAAAAAAAGAAAGTGGGCGGAAAGAAAAACACGACGTTTGGGTGGACGCCACGGATGCCCCTCTTTAAGCACGCGCCGCAGCTCAGAGAGCGAAGGAACTGGTAGCGTATCTCGCATTATCGATTGGTAGCGCAGGTAGGTCACTTCCTCGATTTTTAGTTTGTGCAGCCATCGCCTGGTTCCGTCGGTAGGTGGAAAAGGTCTATTCGGACCAGATTGTAGAGACAACACAGCTCGTTCTGTGGATAGTCCACCTCTCTCTCCCGTGCCTGCACGCCGGTCGAGTAACGTACGTGGCACGTGACACCAAGCGGCAACTAATCAGTGCGGTCTATTTTTAAGCAAATGCGCTATGTGTTTATTTTCTCGATTCTATGTTTTTTTTTTTCATTTCCTTTTTTAACGTTTTAAACGTTTTCGGAAGTTTTATTTTTGTTTTATTGCACCCGTTTTCATTTTTTTTTTTTTTTACGGTTACGGGCGTTGAGCTTGTTCTTCGTTGTTGATCTGTTGTTATGTGAAACAGCGACGACGACAGGAAGGCGTCTGGATACTGCCTGCCCCTAAATGTGCCTTTTGAATAGAACGTGTTCTGCATCAAGTGTGTCGTCGCGGATTTTGAATTCGGCATAGGACCACCCAAAAACGATTGGTCTTGAGAAGACGTAGAGAGGACTGTCGAATTGATCTGTCACTCAGTTTTAGTGATTGGGGTGGTCATTTGCCGCAACTGCTAGACTCCGGTTCGGAAAGCGCGTTTTTAGACTCATGACGTTGTTCAATCTGAAAACAAAAAGTGTTATAGTATTCAGAGATATTACGTTTGGATAAACACCCATGTTTGCGCGATGGCAGACTACGCCAATGGGACTTGCAAAATTCCAATACATCATTGTTGACAAGATAGGTGGGTGAATGCGAGTTAACATAATCGTTAATTCGCATTCACACACCGCGCAAAAGTCAGTCTATTGTGTGGTGTCTGAACGATCGAAACACATTAAAGAAACTTGCCAGTTTCATCCGAATTTGATCATCACGTCCAGCCGTGCTGGGCTGAGTCCTGCCAGTACCCAAGACGCGCTAATCCCCTAGCAAGCATTCCATTTGCCTTCAAAAACAAAAACATACAAATGCACCCTGTCTTAGGAGGATTAATGGCTCTTTTGCTTGCGCTAGCCTGCCGGTAAACCCAGGTTGAGTATAGTTAGTATCCAGCTTTTGCGTGTATACCTAGCTCGAACCAGATTGCTTCTTCGGTGATCAAATTGAAGTTGAAAACACCAAATGCTGCCTGCCTTCAGTCTTTTGATACCATCTTCTTTTTTTTTTTAAAAAAAAAAAGTCTTGCTTAAAAGCTTGTTCACACTTTTTCGACCGACCACAACCGACTCCGACACAGGCAGGTCTTAAGCGGCTTTCAACCGCTATCGCTGCTGCGCGGCCCGTCGTATGAAGTCAGAAGCGGCTCACAGGGGTACTCTAGGAATTTCTTAACGGTCCCCGATTTGCTTGACATTTTTCTAAACTCGCCAACAAACATCGCTAAAATAGTATCCCAAATATGAGTTCAAAATATTTTTATTTCGCTAAGTTATTGAACTTACAATATTGGTCCTCACCGTGCTTTTCAAGCTGAGTCTCTACTGGCGACAACAAAAAATGACGTCAATGGAGGGCGGGGGTTTACTCTTTGGACTGCAGAATTTGTTCCCAACTGATTCGAAGCAGTTCCATTGTGTCAAATGAATGCTTTGGAAGCTCGCTCCACTACCTGCGCTTCAGCACGGAGAAAATAAATGGCATATTACATTATATAGACTGCTTGCTCGACTGGCAATCCTGCCCGCCACTGACGTCACGACCCTGAAAAAGTACGGATATATTTGAATGTTGGTTTTGGCATCATTTTCAATGGCCGATTTCACAATAGATATTGTGAATTTGGCGATACTAAATAGAATAGCGGAAAGGGTAAAGGCCGGGGAGTGAGAAATTATAGTTAGTTGAGGTAGCTAAAAAAATCGCCTTTAAAAGGGTAGTCCGGCGATTTTTTAGCTACCCCACATCCAACTATATCTTAGAAATCGCCTGCCTTTGCTCTTTTGGGGCATGCTATTAAGGATCGCGAAATTAAAGAAATAATGTTTTGAAATTGGCAAAAAAAAAAATGGCACCCTTGACGTCAATGCCGTGACGTCAGGAGAAGGCAGGCTTGCTGGTCGAGCGGGCAGTCTAGAAATGGACTATGCCGAGCATTCGTTTCGTATTGCTGGGGTGGGAGCTGAAGCGAGCTTCCAAAGCGTTCATTTGACGCCATTTGACGACTACAGCCCAAAGAGTGAACCCCTGCCTTTCCTTGACGTCACTTTCTCACTGATGCCGTAGAGTCTTTCCCTTTGAAAAACACGGTGAGGACCAAATTTGTAAGTTCAATAACTTCGCGAAAATATTTTTATTTTGTCCCAATATTTGGGTTACTATTTCGGCGATGTTTGTTGGTGTGTTTAGCAAATTTTTAGGCAAATCGGAGACTACGAAGAAAACACCAAAGTACCCCTTTAAACCCCTGCTTGTGCTGGAAACGGTCGTAGTCGTTCGAAAAATTGTGAGCCAGCCTTAGAAATTCACCCAAAAGATACTCTGTAAACACCCAACAGGTGATATCTTGAATATATAGCCTTTGCTGTTTTGCGTCTAACTCGTACTACAATTCAGCCCTCACAGCGTCAAGCCTGGCGTAAAGTATACATCGCTGTTGACAACCAAGGGCAGGCTGTACGACGTTCAAAATGTCACCTTCCATTGGAAGTCCCTGATGCGCAGACGATCTGAGAGGTCCAGCCACGGTCCGGTTCCAAGGATCTTGTACTTCAAGATTCGTCCCTTGGACATGCACTTCCTTTCAAAAAGGTGCTGTATGTAGATCTATACGTGGGGACAACGTTACGTAGTATTTTCGCAGGATTAAAGAATGCGCCTAAAAAGGTTTTATCGGCGCATAAGATGAGGTGCACAAACAAGCCTTGAGTGCTCGCGAATATAGAGCGCTCATCGCTTTGAGTTTTCGCATTTTTGTTGTCAAGTATTTTTTGTTGCGTAGGTTGTCTGAAATACTCAGGCTGAACCCAAAATCGGCCGTAAAATGCAGCGCCTGCACGTAGCAACATCAACCTTTCGTCAAAGGTGCATTTTACATGTCGGATTTGTCTTTTAAAATTACAAAGCGTAGCACCATTTCTGTAAAAATTAGGGCCAAAAAACTCGCAAGGGTCAACGGTGGACAGCACCGCAGACAACGGAGTCGAGTGGTGGGCGCGTTTAACGCACGTATTGATAGATGGCCCTATGTCGTTATCGATACTGCTCGCGACAACCATGGTTAAAATGAAGATACTATTTTTTTTAATGTACCCTTGCCTTAAACAAAAAGGTGGACAATGATAAGAATACTTGACGTAAAAAAGAACACAAGAAAACGCGGTTGCATAACGACGGCGCCAGCGGCGCTCTTGCTGCTGATGTACTTTGTCTGCCTGTCTTCTGCTTTCTTTTGCTGGTCGGCTACACCTTTCAACGCGGGCTCCCAACGCCATCTACCAATACGTGCGCCAAACACGACCCTCCACTGGATTCCGTCGTCTGAGTCGCCATCCGCCGATGACCCATGGGAAGCTTTTTTGGCCCTATTCTTTACAGAAAGGGAACTACGCTTTCTAATTTTAAGTGATAAAACCGACTTGGGGGATACAGCCAGTGACAAAAATATCAGATTGCTACGTGCAGGCGCCGATTTCTACGGCCCCTTTAAGTTCGAGCCTGGGTATTTTAGACACCTTATAAATCCGGTGAAACATGAATAATAGACCGTTTGTCCTGAATGTGTAGTGCACCTCGATGCATTCGAAGCATCCAATAAGTGGTTCTTCTTTAATCACTTCAACCAACTACGAGTGCGATAGCCTTCACGATCTTTTACTCGGCGTCAACTATTTTGTGCTACGTTGTCAAGGCTAACATAGCTTTAATAGCCTTCTCTCTCAAATCTAGTTTCACGAGCGCACGTGAACGAGATGCAAGACGAAACCCTGTTTTCTCACTGCGACCAGGACCTGCAACACTGTTGCAGTACATAATAGTTGACGCCGATTAGAATGAACATTAAGTCTAAAGGCCGGTTCAGACACTTGCGTTTGAGTGCTTTTGATTGCGTTCCGACGAGAACCGAAAGCGAGTCACCGGCACATCTTTGCTTCGTATGAAGCGTGCGAATCCAATTCAAGGAATTATCTTGGCACGCGATATAAGCAGCAGGGATGTCCTGGCTTCTCGTAGCCGCAACGCAGTCAAACGCAGTCAAACGCAACTGTCTGAACCAGGCTTTCCTGGCAAAGGGATCGGACATCTTTTAATGCTTTAGCATTAGAACGCTCTTTTTGACGAAAACCCGGCGGTGCATTTCGTTTGTCAGCGCCGAAGAGAGAGGGAGAAAGAGGGGGAAGGGGTACGCGTGCCACGCTTCCATTGGTCTGAAACGCTAACGTCTCTAAGCGTCAACCTCTCCCTTTCTCCCCGGCGCTGACAAACTGACAGACACCACCGTGTTTTCGTCAAAACGAGCCCTTTCGTTTTCGCCAAAGCGACGCGCCCAGCTGGCGCGGAGCCAGAGAGGAGGACGCACCGCAGCGCGGTGGAATGCGGACGTGCTCAGTTGCCTCTCTGCCGTCGCCGGATAGTCTTCGCTCTGGGTTTCCGTAGTAACGGTGCGTGGGCTGTGATGCGTCCGTGTAGTTAAAACGATGGATGCGGTTCCCTGCACGAGTGATATGAATACGGTTCCTTTCACGAGGGATATGGATGTGGTTCTTTTTTACGAGTGATATGGACGACCGTATCTGAGGGTCGACATACTCTGATATGCAGAGTACAGAAACGTGTCAAAAAATTACAGGAAGATTCATTGGTGGATTCTTAGGGAATGCGTAAGCATGACCATTGGGAAACGCCACACACGTTCATCTTTGGGAAACGCTAACACTGACCCCCTACGAGGCCAAAAAAACGTAGCAAAAAAGAGAGGAAGCAAAACAGAAAGCCAAAAGAGGAAGTCAAAAGAAAAAAAGTGAAGGGGTCAGCTTTAGCGAGTCCCAAAGGGGGGACGGGGACGCGTGAGGCGTTTCCCAATGGTCATGCTAACGCATCCCCTAAAAATTCATCAATGAATCTTACTGTAGTTTGTTCTTGCAAGAACGTGTACCAATTTAAGAATGAGAGCTATATATATTTGTATTGTTAAGTTTTATTAAGGAAATACCGATAATTAGAATTCTGAGTACATTGCGCAGCGTAGTTTACATTTAGTAACGTTTGGAGGCTGCATGATTACTTCAATTTTAATGCTATTGCATTATTAAGCTACTCATCAAAGATTTCTAGCTATCTGGTATCTGGCCGCCTAATGCGCAGTAGGTATCCGCAGTAGACCATTTGAGTTAGCTGTGCTTGCATCCCACTGCGCCGCGCAGATGCGGGGCGGCAGTGTGCACTGCTTTATATTCGCACAGTCTTCGAAGGAACTGACGACCTTGACGTCGTCCACGAGGTCGTCCCAGACGTTGTCTTCGACGTCGTCTCGTAGGACGTCGTACTCGGCGTCGTCCTTGAGGTCATTCTAGAGGTCGTCATAGAGGTCGTTCTTTAGGTCGCACTTGAGATCACCCAAGAGGTTGTCCTAGACGTCGTCCTTGACGTCTTTCTTGGTCTTCGTAAACGTTGTTCTAGAGGCCGTCCCTACGGTCGCTCTATAGGTCGTCTCGGAGGTCGTTCTAAATGTCGTCCTGAACGTCGTCCTAGACGTCAAGGACGGTGTCTAGGAAGAAGTCGAAGACGACATCCTAGAGTAGGACGTTAATAACGACGTCTGGGACGACCTCAGGAACGACCTTCAGGGTGATCTCAAGGACTGCACAGGTTTAGTTGGCCCTAGAGGACGACACTAATTTTATCGGTGAGTTTCCCTGCTAACTTTGGCGGTGTGCAACGATAAATGCTATCGCAGTCATAGATAATCACCCCTGTGGTGTCAACAAATTTGCCTCGACTATCAACTTCTTTATTTCTTTTATTTTCTACCTTGTACGAAAACTTGAGGTACTCAGTGATGTACTGATTTTCAAAAATATTATGACTGCTTGTTCGTGAGATTTACAGAAGTCGGCAAAGAGAGTCATGGGTGTACTGCAACAACTCAACTCGAACGGCCATTTTACCTGGAGACATCTACCTTGAACCGGATGAGGGCTGTGAATTTGACGATGACGCTGAACTGTGAGCGCGACGAGCCATATGTGGCAACGGTTAAGCCCCAAGGTACGACAATGCAGTGCGTTCGGTATACACTTGAAAAATCATCAATCGCACCATCACCGTCTTTTTCGACGTTCACAAAATCACGCCCGGCCGGATGATCGGCGGTGTCTTGTACAAGGGCATCACGGACTCCAGGTGACTCCTCAGCTCATTGGACACTTCGGGCACCGGTTCCAAGATGACGTCCCGCACGTGGATGCTCCCGGCGACTCCGGCTCTCGGGGTGAACTGCTGAACCATGAAGAAGTCGCCGACGCGGAGTGGCAGGAGCTCCAGCGCGGCCCAGGTGATCATCTGGCGAAGGCTGCAGCATCGGTAGCGCGGATTAGCCTCGGTGTTGAGCAGAGCACTCAGCACCGCGTTGGACACCTCGTGAACGTTGCTTCGCGAAAACTTCCTGAGCTTCTTTGGAAATAAGATCTTGAAGTTTTCGAGGTACGATCCGCCGTATTCTTCTCTCACGATGACGGGGAGTCGGCGGGTGACTTCGGCCAGTGCGTACGTGATCGCGTCGTGATCGGACATGCTCGTCCTGGTGGTACAAAAAACAACAACAAAGAAAACAATGTGAGTTGTGAGCAACGAGACGACACGACGACTATTTTGTGTTGTGTGCCTATGATTTTGGTGAATTACACGTTCGCTGGGATGCTGCATGTTGTTCCCTCTAAAAGGGCACGCAGGCGCGTGAAAGTTTCAATACGGCATGCAAGTTCGTCTGCTCTTTACTTATTTCGTGCATTTCTTCACCCGCAACATCAGTCACTGACGCCACGCGATTGACGGCGTCGTTAGAACGCGTTCTCTATCCGCCTTTTATGCTTACCTTTGATTGGCGTGCCTCCCCATGTTTTTTGATGGGCTAAGAACGCATTTAAAAACACTTGCTCGCCGTATTGTCTGGTTTGAGCCCCGACTGCTGTGTTGAGAAATACGCATTAGCGCATTTGCTTCGTCTTGTAGATAAGCGTTTTAAAGTTTCTTTTTTTTTTTTTGTCGATGTCATCGAGTTATATAATCTGTCTCCCAGTCAAAAATGCCAATTCGGATCAGAGGAACTGTGTTGATTGAGAACAGGCCTTTTCCAAATTACACAAATACCAATTCGAGCATGCAGGGAGAGCTTCACCTTGCTCCTCTTGCCGTTTTTTTTTTTTTTTTTTTACTATAAACCATTTGTTTTAAATCGCCACCTTACTAGAATATTGTTCAACGCACGATGCCCTCTGGTCTTCTCTGCCGTGGAAGACCAATGTACATAGGTCATCTGAGGCAATCGACTTGACATCTTCGGCAGGCTGGTTATCTTCGACCTTCATCTGAATAATAAACCCCGAAGAGGGCAGTACTTGTTTCACGACGAAACACTCTCTGGAATTTGTTTCTAAAAACATGTTTTTCTTTTTAGTTTGGACCGTTAAACAATTTGTAAAAAATTCAATGCTAAAAGAAACCATGGTTTTTGAAGGTACAAAACGGGGATGGCTATAAACGAAGTAAACTCTACACCCCGTGTTGTATCTCTTGTTTGCATCGTTTAAATATTTTTAACTATATTTCGTTTCGCAAAAAGTCTGACCGCAGCCAAAGCTGCCATCCAATGAAGGTAACCGCGCAGTGTCAAAAAGTGCCTCGTCATTGTACTCGCCGTCTTTATGTGTTTGCTGTCATCGGTACAAAAAAAAAAAAAAAAACTCAGTGAGATCTGTGGCTCTTCACTTATTTCTGCGCGCAACAGGTTTAGCTGGTAACAAGGCGTGAAGTTGGGCTAGTTGGCTCATATTGCAAGCTGGAAACAGCGCAAGAAAAGCAGGGGACAAGAACGAGAAGTGAACGAACACAACGCTGACTGGCAACTGAAGTTTATTCCTGCGAGGAACAGGAAGGAAAACGTAAAAGATGCAAGATAGATAAAACATAATCCACCCCCTTGAGGCACGCCCGAGCACTTAAACAAATCTGCTGAATTTCTTAATGAAAGTCACTTCGTCATTTGCCAAAGCCTCGGACGGGGCACTAACACACATGTCCGCTCCGTAAGTAGCAATAAAAAAACGCCTAATCAATTTCTCTAGTCACTTTGTAGGTAAACCCGAGCGCACAAAAAGAACGAGTGGCGTGACGAAGCACTTTTGGGGCTGCTTGAGTGGCGTCGTCGAGTGGTAGCGTTAGCTGTGGCCGGATCTTAGTGTGAAACGGAATAAAACACTAAAGAGTTTCAGTATTGCGTATAGAAGCAAACGCAAGCGCTGTGCGTTTGCGTTAGCGTTGCGTGCTCGAGCCTGCCCATGCCCGTCGTCGCCGTTCGCCAATCCAAGACGCAGTTTGGAGCTCCGCGCACGCTCAGTGTGGAACACGCAACTCTAACGCAAACGCCCAGTGCTCGCGTTTGCACGTATACGCAATACTACAACTCACTACTATCTTCTGCTTCTTTCTATTCTGTCCCTCGTTCTGTTTTAATGCGAAAGCATTAACTGTCCCATGGAGCGCAGCCGGCGTTACCTGAGTGAAGCCGGATTTAAGGCTCTGTTATATAGTCCGACGTTGAGCACAGGGAACGCAGCGTAATGCAGAACGCGCGCCTTTCATTGGCCCTGTGAGCATGAACTCAATATCTGCAACCAATCGGCGTCTGTGTGCGCTGCGCTACGCCGCGTTTGCCTGCGCTCGACGTCGGAGTATAATGGAGCCTTTATCATCTGTAGCCGCGAAAAACGGCACCTAAATTCCCATTGGCTGAATGTAACGGCACCTAAATTCCCGTTGGCCGAGCGAAAGGGCACCTAAATTCCTATTCCCAATACAACGTAAAGCAAAGTGCGGCAACGCAGATGCTTCGCCACGGAAGCCGTCGTGAAGCCGGTGGAATTCGCCGCGCCTGCGCAGTGAGAAAGCGTGACGTCACCGCCGCAGCGCCGTGTGCAAAAGGAAGACGTGGCGCGCTGCTTGTAGGATTGCGCTGCGTGTACGAAGGCTATCGCATTCCCACACGTAAGCTTTTTTTAAGCGTCTCTGCCCAATTTTTTTTATATTTCAGGTAAAGACCTATGTCCAGTAATAGGAAAAAAACATTATAAGAGTGCTTTAACGCTGTAGAAAATATCGAGAACTTCTGCATCCCATTCCAGGAATAACAAAATGAAGTAGAAGTATTTTCAAAACGCGCTTCTCTACACTCGTGGATTTCCGCCATAAGCATTATTCATAGATATTAACGCCACAAGTGTTCCCTTTCGTTATGCGCCTTTGTTTGGCACAAACTATTTTCACCGTCAATTATATACCCTAATGGGCGGTTTGTACCAGCCGTACACACAAAGATATCAGACTTGTGCGGAAGTAATTAGAGGTATTCAAATTACTTGTCATCGATTACTTTTTAAGTAATTTTGAAATCATTTGATTACCTTGTTAAGAGTAGTAATCACAGGTGCAATCAGATTACCTCTGAAGGTAGAATTTCTTGTAATCCTAACTATCCCCCCCCCCCCCCCCCCCCCCCTTCTTGATGGCGTCCTTGTTTCCACAACCCTTCTCCTAAGAAATCCTTGAACCAGGTCTCCGAAACGGGGGCGGTCTACTGAAAGTGGTGAATTTAGAAGATGAGTAGTCTGTAATCAGAAAAAAAAAGCGCTTTTTTCCTAATTTAAACTAATCGGAATAGTAACGGTTAATTTTCAAGTAACGGTCAAGTACGTTTGTTTTGTTTTTCAAGCAATCAAGTAATCTCGTTTAATTATTTTATTCGAAAGAAATGATAATAGCAATAGATTACATTTTTGAGGCAATGTGTACAAGATTGACACAAACACAAAAAAGACACCCTGCATCATGCATAACTGCATCGGCCCAAACTGTCTTTGTTTCAGGTTATTTGCCTTGGTCAACCAGAACACGACCTTTCCGGTACATTCCTTGCACGAGTCTAGCAAAATAAATGTATAGCGTTCCTGGGACTGTGGAGGTCTTGCTCTAAAGAATCTCATCGGATGAGCTGCCGCGAGCCACCTCGGCCAACCATGGGCTGTAAGCTTTTGTCACGTGACACCAGGACATAGGTTGCAGTGATACTTGCAGCGTGTCCCGTATGCCTCCATTCGGGTTTCCAGTCGGCATGGATAGCACCCACCGCTGTACGGATCAACATCGGGTGCTCGCCATATTGGAACGCTTTGTCCACAGATGATGCTCAGAACGAGCTCAGATTTATGTACGCTCTGGCAACCTTGATGGTGTGGAATGCCCGTTGCTAGAGAACCGTGGAAGCTCGCCGTCAGCGCGCGCTCAGCAGCCGCGAACTCAACTACGGCCGCCGAGTACATACTCTCTATAGTCAATCAAAAGGTACGAACAACGGGTGGCGCTAGGTGGCGCAAGCTACCGCCCGTTACAAAGGGTATAAGGCTATGACATCAGAGCCGTGTATAGAGAGAGTTTGGTCAATGGGAGGCGCGGGCAGAGCCAGGGCGTGCACCAGACTCGGAAAGAGGGCTTGGCGGACTTGGCATGCTCTCTTGACCAACCAGAAACCGAAAAGAATCGCCTAGCGGTGATAGCGAGTAAGAGTGAAGTGTAGTAACTCTTTATGGTTGAAAATAGGGTGCACGTGATGTTTCGATAATGATAATGCAGAAAGATGTAAGAAACCAATGCGCCGCTCAACTTTGTTTTGCTCGGACAAAGTGTAACCGCTCGGACGGCAGAATCCCGGCCCCGGCGCTTGGCGTAAGAATTATGTCGATCGTTCCTCTAGTCGCACTCTTTCATCATCATTTTGGGCGAGCGTGATTGAAACATCACGTGAACCATATTTTCAGTCACCGAGAATTACTCCGATGCACTTAGCAGGTTTGTTTCTCGCGACCCCCGCCAGGATATTATTTGTATAAACACAGAGACCAAAAAGCTCGAGAGATTGTTTAAGCTCATAGAATAAAGAAGGAGGGGCCAGCCTGCGTGGGTCAGGCTTCCTTGAATTTGCTGGACAGTGAGGTCAAATTTTAGATCGGGGATGACGCATATAGCATTCTGTAACAGATAGCACCCAATTTTGTGAGGCGCATGCGCATTTCCATCGTGATTAGAGAGTCGTGTTGTATGTTTTTCTTCGTGGTTTCCTGAGAATAGACTTTTCAGTTGTTAGTCAGCGCTCGTCCTGTCCAGTTCCTTCCTCTGTCCTTGCAAAAATTCGCGCTGTGCCATTATGAATCATACCAACTCGCCCAGCTATCCTGTTTATTATTTCCGGCTTCTGGATGGTCCCATTCGAATTTCTGAAGATGCCCTGGAACACGCCCAGCCCACTTTCGGCCAATGGTGCCTCCTCGTTTGTCTCCTATACTTCCCAACGAATGGCCAAACTCCCTACCCATACGGCTCTGTATGACATCAATCTATCCATCCATCCATCCGGGGAGCAGATTCAGTCGCCCTCTCTACGCCGCTGGCTTCCTACCTTTTACAATGGTTCGGTGCCTCGTGCACCTCGAGTGCCCGCGCGTGCGCGCAGTCAAGACACGACGGAAGACACGGGCCGTGTTCCAAAATTTACTCGATTTTACTCCAGGACACGGTGTAAGATAATACTCTTCAGGTGAGGACAGCGCGCTCCTCGCGCAGTGCAGATAAAGTTTGCTTTTCAGTCGCTCTGTTAAGGCCCGTTCACACTCTTGCAACCGAGTGCGACCGAGAGAGACCAAACCGGTTTTTAAGCCTCTTGCGATCTCTTAGGACCAGCTCCGCTCAGTGCATCCGGTCCCAAGAAGTCTTTCTCGGTCGTACTCGGTTGCAAGAGTGTGAACGCGCCTTTACTCTCACTATGGTTTCAAGCGGTTTCAAGCGGCACCGGCAGATGACTCGTCGACCCGTAGGCACGGCAAAGACGGCTCGTGCCGCCTCATGCTCCAAACGCGCCGAGCTTCAGCGAGGTTGTCGCTCGTGCAGAAAGACCACGGTACCACGGTGTACCGGGGTGTCATGGCAACGATATAATTTTTTTCGCTCTCACACAGTTTCGCCGTTTGGCCGCCGGCGACACTGTCAGCCGCGGGCACGGTGGCCGCGGAATAATGCAGTTTTTCGGATGCCCGTCGAACGAACACTATCTGATTCCTCGCGCCCCGCGTTCAGCCCCGCCGTGTCCACACCTAAAGAGTGTATCTTACACCGTGCTCTAGGATAAGAGTTTTGTACCTTGGCGTTTCAAAACCTACCGTCGTCTAGCGTTTTTCAATCTGTGTTGTCACGTGACAGGACCCGCCAGAGCAATTCGGATCCATTTGAGTAAGATTTGGAACACAGCCATAGTGGCCGTTCTTTCAAAAGAGTCGCCTTTGCTGCTCTTACTCTGTCAGGGACAAGAGAAGTCAAGGCCTGCACTTTTTCTCTTCCAACGTCATCATTAGGGGATGCAGGCAGCGCCACCTAGCATGCGTGAGCGTCGACACCGCAGTGCGTCTTGCGGCGTCTGACAACAGCACGCGGCGACGGCGAAACAGACGCGTCTGCGGCTTTGCAACGTATACTCTCGTCAAGTTTCGGCGCGTTTGCCGCTTGGGGCGGGTCGGTAGGGGTATCCACCAACGACTACGTCATCGCAAGTCTTGTTTACTATGGTGGTGGTGTTGTTACGACAGTACCCAAAACTTGCCTGTAAAAGGCGGGCTCGATTGCGGACACCTGCACACCAAATTTTCTGAGCTCTCGGCGCAGGCCGTCGGCATACTGGCAGAGGGCCGCTGTCGTCGCCGACGCCACCGCCATTCCAGGTATGGACAGTCGACCTGGACAGGGCAAGAAAAATGTAAACGTTTGCAAAAAAACGACCTCTGGGCGCCGCCGTCTAGCTGATGCGCGTCTAGATCAATACCACATAGCACATGAGCATTGCTGCCCATCGGGCCAATCATCATGGCTAGTTTATACATCCTTCCTAGCTTTATTTACGTGGTTATACATTATGCACGGTTGCAAAATTGGATTTTAAAACGACGGCTACTTGCTAGCGTTCATATTTAAAGGGATTCTCAATATCAGATACCGAATTTGGCCAAGATACTACACTTTACTGCCTGTGAGTTGGCACGACATGCGAGTTCATTGATCGGATATTTTACTCGAGGTGAGTTTAGTTCCAAACTACGGATGCGTCTCCAGTGCGATGGTTGGGATGCGGCATTTTCGGGAAATCTCTTGATTTGAGGTTGATTACAGCTCTACACCTCTTGAAATACCACGAAGTGCGTGTGACTATAACGTCTAATCTACGACAAATTAGAGACATCAGCGAGTCAACAGCATCAGTCCCTGCTGAAGCAATACCAGCCGCGCCTGTTGCGATTTTCTCGAAGACATATTTTTCCGTAACTCCCAGCTTTAAACATCTAACCTTGCTTTACCTTCATACAGAGTAGTTTCGTTTTTTTGTTTTTTTTTTTCAGTTCTACACATTTTGGGATTCTTCAAAGGCTTTCTTTCTTTCTTCGGTGTCATTTCAGAGACATACATCGGAGGAGATGACTATGAGGCAGTGACAACAAGCCGCACTCAGTGCTTCAACTAGCGCAGTTTAAATATGTTGTCCTATTGGAGGACAATAGGCGTGATTTACGTTGCCATCAATGTCCAATTGAGTAACACCCTAAACTTGAACCAATTCGTCTTGGGTACAACCTGGTGACATCACAACCACCCAAGTAATTACGCATAGCGGCATAGGCTTACGCCCAAGAACCCGTGAAGCACCAACAACACAAAGTAGGGCTGCTCACGCCAAGGGGAAACCATTTGTTTCAATGTATGTTAGTTTGTAGGTTACGTTATGTTCCCGAAAGCTGGAAAGTTGTTTGTAGAAAATTATCATTGCCTTAATTAATCATTTTAAAAAGTTCATGTTTATTTGTATTAGCTAGACTATGGATCAATGCAGCCACGATTCACGCATCTGACACTGTCGTGTCCAAACAAACGACTATAATCCCTGAGAACAGAAGAAACGCAGACCACGCCCTGCTTTTTTTTTTTCTTCTTAAGTGGTCATTAGCTAGAACTGTTCAAACTGGGGGAGAGGAGAAGCAACAGTGCGCGGGGTGCGTCAGAACACCGAGCTGGGGTTGAAATGATTAGGGGGTAGACGCCAAGCTAGCCGCCTTTGTGGCTATTAAAATTTATTAACGCGTTCGAACGCTGGACGCCGGCGTTCGTCGTTCGCGTTCGAGCGCGTTCCAACATTGAGTAGAGACAACAAAGGCGCTCCAGCGTCCCCGCGCTATCTCTCATCTCCTCCTCTCTCTCACTTGCTACCCGTATAGTATATCCTTGGATGGTGTTTGCCTCGCTTTTACCCTGAAGTCCCGTGACTATGGCGATTCGTCCAGTGCTCCGCCGGATTTGAGGAATGCCGGTCCCGACGAACTTGAGTGTTCCCACGAGGTTGACGTCGATGAGCCTCTGGAGCTCGTTGGGCTTCATCCATTCAACTTCTCCGTAACTGCTCACACCGGCATTGGCGACGATGGCCCACAGATCTGACCGGGATGCAGAAAAAAATAAAAAAAATATATATACATATATATATATTGATCCTTTAGCTTACGGTTGACCTTCTGCATACATTACAATATCGAGAGGTTTGGTCTATATATAGTTGATGAAAGTAGAGAAGCGATAATACCGTAAAGTTTTCTTGTTCTGCTACTACATGATCTATGCTCTGGAAAACAAAGGGTTGCGGATGCTTTATGTAATAACCAAAAAGGCATCGCAACCTTTTTTTTTAGCATCTCTATGTTTTCGTGTTTTTTTGTTTTTTTTCAGAGCATTACAAGTATTGGTTCACATCGTTTCTCCTGATTTGGCTGCAAATTCACAGCCTTTTTTTTAACTTCAAACTAAAGCCGTGGCTGCAGGTCGTGAAATAAAAACTCAGCCGCATCTATCACTGACAAATCTAAAGCAAACGAAGGGCGTTTCATTCCCTTAGCTACAAACGCGGAATTTATTTATCCCGAAAGAAAAAAAAGAAAGAAGCGGGTGTCAGCGGGAGTTAGAGAAATGGACTTTTTGCGAAAATGGATCTGTGCATGCTCGAAGATTCCTTCCGCCACGCGGCAGAAGTTCGCGAATAGGCTTCAGAAAAAAACGGGGCCAGCTAAATAGAACGCTACACTTGCGTCGTCTGTAATTCTGGACATACTGCGCATGCGCGAGTGACTCGCGCTTGCGCAGAACCTGCGTCGTGTGATCGGCGAGTCAGTTATGTCGGACTTGGGAAGTGCCGAGGACCTTCCTCCACAGTATGTTTGTGTGCCTACCGTCAAGTGTCGTCTTTTATGGGGCAAATAATAAATGATGATGAAAAGTATACTGAAATATTTTCCAGCTCTTCGAAAGCTCGTGGAAACTTATTGACGTGGAACTTCGCGGTGATGAAGAAAAACCAGAAGCGGGCAGCACTATGGAAAGTTAGAATGAACAAGGATTTACTATGAGCGGACAATGCCGAACAGTTGCAATATACGAGCGGGTCCCAAAAGTAACCGGAATAAATTTCTGGGGAGCGCTGCGTGCGTAGTACCAGTTTCCACCGCTAGCAGCCCTCAACGGCACCCCTTCTGGGTCAGTTTGCTGTTCGGCGTCGTCTGCTAAAGTTCTGGCGTGATATCGTGAATTTTTTCCCCAAGCGCTTCGAAATCATCACTTCTTTTTTTTTTTTTGCAACGTCTTATTTGAAGGACTTACCACATCCACAAAACTTTTTCCTTTAAGCAATTTGTTTTTTATACGGGCGTTCAGAAACAAAGTTGTTCGGGGCGAGGTCCGGTGAATACGGGGGGGGGGGGGGGGGGGGGGGGGGGGAGGGAGGGGGGGGAAAGTGGCGCCACGCTATTTCTGTTCGTGATTGTCGTGATGGAACCGCCACTCCCCCCTTTTCCACAAATCGGGGCGTTTCTGCCTCACTGAGTTACACAAGCGTCGCAAAATTCCCGGATAAGACACGTGATTAACAGTTTCACCAAGAGGGTTAAACTCCTAGTGAACATTGCTCGAATTTTTTTTTTTTTTTTTTTTTTTCATTAGTTGAGAAGGTTGAGGTGTCGCCCTGAACAAGGTTGGTCGTCGATTAATAATTCGCCCACCTCGAAGTAAGTGAAACACTTGTAAACCTGCGATTGTTTAATTGCATATTCTTTATAAGCTCTCTGAAGCATTACAAGAGTTTCACGCCGCACGCAGTTCTTTCAAATCAGACACTGCAAACAAAAAATGACGAATGATTTTGAAGCGTCTGGGGAAACAAATTACAGCAATTACAACAAAAATTACAACATGCTTTTGAGTCAGCAAGCTGACTCAGAAGGGATGCCGCTAAGCGCTACTAGAGGCGGAAGCTTGAACGGCCCGCCCTCCAGAAATCCCTTCCGGTTACTTTTAGGTCCCCCCTCGTATATACAGGGTGTCACAAAAGAAAATTTACACGGTCTCTTTAACCGCAAAAATAAACTAGGCATCGCCGAACGCTCATTCTTCGCCCAAAGGTAGAGCTAGAGGTCACAACCAGATGCCAAAGTTTCAGCCCGATCCGATAACTTAATCAAAAGTTATAAGTGATTTTCTGAAAAGTTCAATGGGAAAATGGAGCCCATTTTTGCCTGTTTTTGGTTTCTGGTGCCATAGAGCCCCATGTGTTTGAGAACTCCGTCGGCCGCCATTTTCCCATTGAAATTTTCAGAAAATCGCTTATAACTTTTGATCAAGTTATCGGATTGGGCTGAAACTTTGGCATCTGGTTGTGACCTCTAGCGCTACCTTTGGGCGGAGAATGACCGTCCGGCCATGCCTAGTTTATATTTGCGGTAAAAAAGACCGTGTAAATTTTCTTTTGTGACACCCTGTATATATATATATATGTGCATGCACGTTGTCGACGATCCTGTGTATTCAGCGCCCTTACATCCGCTTTGACAGCGTTGCCAGTAGGGAATCTTAGCAAATGTTTTCTCGAGACCCACTACTACTCCGGACCCGCACTGCAGATAATATTTTTAAGCGGCAGCGCTTCCTCCTGATACCAAAACCATTTTATGAACACACGATGCGATGAATCTTTCCAGTAACTGTATCACATTCAGTGTTATAGACTATTTTGTTCGAGTCAAAACTCAGTAGAGTATTTTGACGGATCTTCTTATCAAGCATGTACGGCACAAATTGTTGACATAATCACTAGGCTAATCAGCGAAGAAGATCACGCCTACGCAACGTGCAAGCTCTTCCATGTGTGGGTTTGACACGAGGCGACCATTCCGATTTAATAGATTTGCGGCCGCCGTCGGATGTCGAGTGGTTCGCAGTTAAACTTCGCTTGGCGCAGGACTCAGGGAAACTTTGTACGCCACACGAGTGAAATAAGATTTGTTTAGACTATTCACCTACGCCGTTGAGAACGTCGCAGATCTTTCTGTATGCATTTTCGATGGTGTCAGGCCTGAGGTAGTCAACGTGAAGCACTATTATACCCGATGACTTGAGGTACAGCGCCCCCTCCGAGTACTGATCGAGGCAGCCAGCGAATACAATGAAGCCCTTTCTATGCAGGGCCACTGCAGCTACGTAACCAAGGCCCGTGTCACATCCTGCGTCAAAAAAATGACATTCAGAACACACATTTTGTTTTGCACGTTGTCTACATTCGCGCGTGAGAGTGCGTGTGTCTAAAAAGGAGACAAGGCCCATTAAAAAAAAATTCAGTCTATCCACCTTACAGGTTAAGAGGTCAGGGCGAGAGAAATGAAGGCTGGGGAGGGGGGGGGGAGGATGCCGATGAAATGCATGGTGAGGAGAGGACGAAACATCCTCCTCGCTGCAGCATTCCGCCTGCTTCCTTCTCCCCAGCATTCCTTTCTAAGTTCCCTGAGCTTTTAACTTGTCACCGACTATGGATTGAAACCTAACGTTCTAATGGCGGCCTTACAGAACTTCTCCACTCCAGAAAACGAAAACATATGTGAAAGCAAACAAATGAAAGCGGAATATTGAATTTAACAAGTTGGTCCTTGCGTTCGATTCACGAAGTCGAGGGGGCTTGATCAGAGTAAATATTTGAGTTTTTAGGTTGCCATTAGATGGCTCGATTATTTCAGAAGGGTATATTAAAAAAATAGACAATCTATGTTTTTTTTTAATATAATTTTTTTTTATATTTATAACAAGACGTTTCTCAACGTAGAAAACATGGAAGACGTCTGTCTGTATGAAGAGGTGACCGCATGCAGTCGTAACGTCTTAGAGCCGAAAAGGATATGTGGCGCGTAATAACTATCACTAATAATGAGGAGTTTAAAAAGGGCTTGACAATTCAGTCTTCAATTAAACAACAGAAGACAGCTACAAAAACTACATAGACACCTCTTTTGCAATCGGGTCAGCTTAGCACGGAAAAACAATGACACGAAGGAAAGGACTGAACAAATTCACCGCTGACTATCAACTGACTTTTACTTTCTACTCTTCCCAGCCTAGGTTCTTTCCTCTTCGTCCTACGGCACATTAAACACGTTAAAAACACGTTTAAAGTAACCATTTCGCCTACTACTCAACGACGTTTGGCAGACCGTAAATACTGTCGTTCTTTTTTGTGAACCGTAATTGACGAGGTGCTCACGCAATCTTATGTTACTTCAGTGGCCAAGGACTCCAGCACTTCACGCGCGAAGGAGTTCTTGCTCCTATGAAGGACGGTTATGCTGGTGAGCTCTGCTGTTCATCCACAGTTCTGGCAATGAGCTGACAAATGTCCTGCTGATTTACTTTTCACCGACGCTGCGAGCTCCCTTGCTCTATCGTTTATACATCGACCAGATTGGCCGATGTAGCTCTTTCCGCAAGAGAGGGGAATATGTAAGATTACCCTCGTTTCGCATCGGCCTAGTGTGTTCTATGGAGTGTGTCACATATCCGCTGTTGGTCACGTCCTTTGTTGATCCTGCGACACATGGCGTATGATTTGATCGGTGCCGAACAAACAACCGGAATAGCTTGCCTTCCTGCGATCTTTTTTAGTCTGTGGATCACTTCATGAATGTAGGGCAAAACCGTGATTTTGCATCGCGTTGGTAGATTCACCACTTCCTCGCCGCTTGCTGCTCTCCGCTTCAGTTTCTTAAAGAGGCTCTCACACACGCTTCCTAAAAAAGCGCTCCAGTAACCAGAATCGCGTGGTCCGACAATGTTTCTTAAAGCTTGTCTCAACTTGATGATGGCAGGATACCGCAGAGACAATAGCAGTACTGGCAACACTTATTTTGATGGTCTTCGAATGGCTTGACTCGAAGGAAAGAAACCCCTTACACGATCGGGGTTCTTAGCGCCAACATATACGTGACTTGTTTTGAACTTCAAAAAGAAGTCCAGGAACTTTAATGACTTCTCCAGTGGTAGTTCGTAAGTAAACACCAATTCCGGCCAACGTTTTTGGAAACAGGTCAAAACCTTCTCTTTACATCCGTTCCCTAGGTCTTCCACCTTACTGTCGCATAGCCCATAATAGTCAGCATAGCACAAAACAGTGCTATGGGACACTGAGGTGGAAGATAACAGCGCCTAACGCCAAACAGCGCCTAATGCCATGACCTCGTTATCTGCGAAGCGATGACAAGATGCGCAAGACTCACCACCGCGCTGAGTTTCTGGAGCCGTCAGTGACTAAGATATTTCGAATTTGTATCGTGCGCCAGAAGCGCTCGATCAAAATCAAACATAGCGGACGCTCACCTGTGATGAAGACCGACTTGTTCGCAGCAGGAAGGTTCAGAGCGTAGTTTGCGTTCACAACCCGCCTGACCATGAATCCCACGGCGACAGAGAACGCGATGTTCCCCAAGATCGTGATGATGTAAAGCGCGGGCGGGGTCAAGGCCACCACGACGAACGTTGACAGCGCGATGACGGAAAAGGCTGCCATGGGCCTCTGGCCCTGCGGCACTCGCTCCATCCCGAAGCTTCCCCGCCCGGCTTAGGTCTTTTTGGATGTGTGGTATTACGGCTAGCAAAAACAGCCTACATGGCTAGACCTCGGCCTGAAGCTGACGTGCCTCAACTTCGTCGTTTTCTCTTGTTTACCAAACCGTGGCGGCGTGCTGTCGTGTACTTCAGAACCTAGAGATCATGGGTTCAATTGGCACCCGTACCCGTTTTAATCTGGGTGAGTATCGTATTTGCGTACAGTCGTTTATCAGCACAGCGCTGTAGCACGAGGCACGTTAGACATCTATACTTTGTTCAAAGTAAACGGTCAGCTAGTACGATAAAGACAAAGCACAGCCAGGGAGAAACAGACACACACACACCGGAGACAATCAACTGCGGCTTTATATTTCTTCACCACTTTGACCCAAAGATTCACGCCTAAAGTAATACCATATTAGATCACCCTAAACCCCTACATTACACTACCAAATTAAAATAAACTAAAATAAATTAAATAACATTATGAAATTTGGTCACTAACACCTCCCTGACCCAGCCCACGAACCACCGCCCGGCACATATGCAAAAACTGCCTTTCTCTCTTGCTGACCGAGATGGAGGGCATGCTCACTCAGTCATCGGCGCTTTCCTTAATGGCCAGGGCCTCGAGAATCTCGTGCGCAAAGGCATTTCTGTGTCTTTTAATAATGAAAACGCTACTGAAACTTGGCCTGCACCCGCATGTGCGGCAAATGGGCTGCAAGGTGCCCAGCCCCCGTGCCCTGCACCGACGCCGCGTGCTCTCGGACTCTGTCAAAAAAATTGGGTTCTGTGTGTGTTTATACAGCCTAGAACTTGGTCTGCCTCAGAGGGGCGACGAGTCTCCCAGCTGTAGATGAGAAATTTAGCCAGTGCGGTATAACCGCTAGCCTGGGGTCTTTAACGTGCATCACGCAGTAGTGATACACGACCGCACGCCGGTACGATGCTCATCCAGATCGAAACGGGCAGGGGTGGGGCTCGAACCCAGGATCCCTGGGTTCTGTAGCGCGAGCTTTCGCTCCACGTGCTCCGAGCTGGTGCGGGCTTGGCCGCTCGGCCACCGATCCCCCTGTTTCCGCCTGGGCGCCGCTGTCACCTAAAAAGAGGTCGCGATTGGTAAATGCGCGTCACTTATGATTTTTCCTCGGTACTTCTGTTCTTTCAAAACCTCGCTTAATTTATTAGTGTTGGAGTCGAAATCCTCGTTATTAGAACATACAGGTTTAAACCTATTAGCCTGGCTGTACGGAGTACTGGTTCTGCAAGGACGCGGGCGACAGCTGTCGATGTGCAAATATATCTGGCTGTCCGTCGGCTTTCGATAAATTTGGGTGACCAGAGTTGTTTCCTTAATTATTACACTAACGTCTAAGAAATTAATGGCAGTCTTCGAGTAACTGTGAGTGAAGCGAATGGAAGGGTGAGCGGAGTTCAAATCTGCGATAAACTTGAGAAGCTTATTTTCTGCGTGTGACCAGATACAAGATACGTCATCAATGTACCTTTTGTAGAACATCGGTTGGAGCGGGCAGGCTGCGAGAAAAGTTGACTCTAGGGCACCTATAAATATATTTCCCAAGTTTGGGGGCTTTCTATATCTATGTCAAAGATCCGTACTTTCGGAGTTGCTGTGCTAGGAAGTTTATTGTATATATTGCGACAATTTCGCCGAGCTTCGCCAGGAGATGGCATTGACACGTGTGCCGTCTCCTGACAAAGCCGAGATTCTCGGCGAAACTGTCGCAGCAGATACAATAAACTTCCTAGCACAGCAACTCCGAAATAGGAATCTCTGACTTACACGCACACACACACACACATACACACACAAATATATATATATATATATATATACGACAAATATGTCATAAATCCTTGCTAAAAGCTTCGAAGCACGTTAATTCACTTTTACACTTTTCGTCGTCCTACGAAAGAGCCTTTTCGTTATTTATCTATATATATACACCTAGTTTTTTAAATAAAATTATCAATATAATTTTTGTAAACAGGGCTACAAAGACGGGTTTGCTAAAATTCCCTATAGGGACTTTTAGCAAACTGTTACCCTGTTGTGCGTACGGCACTACCAGAGGCCGGAGCCTTTGAAGCATGCTTCTTAGCGCGCGCTCCCAGGTGATACCGTGATTACGGGCCACGCGCTTAAAAGCATGCCTCAAAGGCTTTGGTAGTGCTGTACGCAAATCATGGTACCGACTTATTAAAGGAACCTTATAGAGCCATTTACGCAATTATCAGACAGGTAGACTAACAGTATACGGTTAGAATAATGGATACGAGTCGCCTATAATGCCTACACTGCACTCACACTCTAAAAAACGTTTGTGCGTCTACTTTCCGGCACAACACTTGGAGAGCCAGTCAGCGCAACTTACAGAGGCAGCTCAGCGAATGACGATGCCGAAAAATATGTTTAGACAAAAAAACGTAGTCTGAGTTGTGACATTAAGCAATGCAAAACTTCACGCTTCCTTTGCTTAATGTCACAGCTCAGACTGCGTTTTTTGGTCTAAACATATGATTCGGCATCGTCATTCGCTGAACTGCCTCCGTAAGTTGCAGTGATTGGCTCTCCGAGTGTTGTGCGGGGAAGGTGGGCGCGCGGGCATTTTTTAGAGTGTAGTTCGTCTGCTTCTTGCACAAGGGTTACGATGATGTCAGAACGCCATGACTCTTATTGGCTGACAGAAAACAAAATATTGGGCAGACCTTCAGGCATCTAGCATTGAGGTCTACCCACTATCCTTTCAATCAAAGCCAATCAGAACTTGGCGTCGTCCTGACGGCATTGAAACTCCCGATCAAAAAGCAGACGACTGGCTCTCCACATAGCGCCCTGTTCCACTCATGCTTCGAAAAGGCTACCGAAGTGGCAGCAAATGACGTCACAGAAGCCGGAGTGTCATGCTGTCGGATGCCGCGTCCCCGGGGGTTGGGCGTAGACGTTCTGGGAAAAAAAGCGCGAGGCAACGCAAGGGTCTTTGTTGTCGTGGCGTCCCGCTCCTGGCTGCCGAAGCTTCTGTGAGGTGTCCAGCTGGAGGGGAACTGGAGCGAACAGACCTCTGCCACACCCACCACCGCTGCTGCTGTGACACCGCCAGGGTCACGGCAGGCGACAACATGACAGATCGATGACGTCGGCAAATAAAATCGAGGAACCCTTTTTTTAAGACTCGGCAAACGCATCAATCGGAGACAGGTTCCAGGCATTATAGCTGTAAGGAATTCCCAAAACATCCAACTGTAAATTCTTCAAGTCGGTCTTTTTTTTTTTTTTTTGCACTGCTGTTATACACAGGGTAAGACAAGATCTCATGTGGTCGATAATCAAGATCAATCTGTACACGCCTCTCCATCCAAAGAGTGCTGGGTCACAAGGTGTCCTTGATGGACATCGGGGCTGTGATGGTACTAAGAGTGGTTTTAAACTTGGATCGCGGCTGAAACAAGCTGACGAAAAAACTATCCACAAGTTCCATGGGCAACAGTTCCAGAAGTGTGCACAGGGCGAGGTCGCTGCTGCCGCATCTGTACCGGGCCTTGGGTACAGGGTCCGTAAGTGCACTGCGTTCAAATGAACGGCGTACAGGATTAGGATTGACATTTGAACCAAACTTCTGCTCTCAATTCGCTGCGAGTAGTTGATAGAGTAAGCTAAAGCAAATGAATGTTGTTATGGTATGGAAGACTATAAAGTTTCGATGAAGTCTCTACCGATGGCGAATTAATAAAACGGGCATCATCACATTAAGGTTTTTCCTTCCCAAAACCGCTAAGACTGCGAGCAAGTGTTCCAAAATGCGTCTTTGGCTCTTCGGAACGCAATGAGGAGCACGCCCATTAAAGCGCGCGCCGTCATTGCTTGAGGTGAGGAGAAAAATAAAAGCACGGGGGTGTGTTCGGCGGGTAAAGGAACGTTCAAAGTGCGCAGGAAGCAGACGAACTTGCACACCGTGCAAACCTTCACAGATATTTTTGTGTATTCATGAGGTTATGAGAACAACGCGGCACACCGGCAACAACGGACAGTTTCTGCAGCATAAAACAGATGACGATTTTGTGCAGCGTAAACTAGACGAGCCCAACTCACTTTCCCAATCGACTGGTTAGTAGCCGTAACCACTGGGTCATGCTGAGTGGTCACCTTAGAATGGTTTATCGTTTTCAGACTAAACGATCGCAAGTAGCCTGCCAGTCAGTTCAGTTTTGCATCACCGAATGTCACGTAAAAAGGAGACTTTAGATGAATGAATGCCCTTTAATCACCTCAAACTCATGGATTCTTTAAACCCATCACAAGCGCATATCGAAAGCAGTCTTTTAGGGTACGCAAATTGTAAACACATATAAAATATTTTTCATCTGAACGTCTTTCGTCCACATAATTCCATCAACCCCGTCACCGTAAAAAAAACCTTTCATTCAGTCGACACTATACCATGAGCTTACCAGTGCATGGCCTTGGAAACGTCGTTAAGGTTAACGTGCATGTACTTCTGCATCCTCTTTGGGATAATGGTTTTAAAGGTGTCCAAATACACTTGTCCGTATTCCTCCTTTAGGATCGGGCTCATCCTGTTGATGACCTCGTTCACGCCGATCTTCACGTTCTCGGGGTCGGTGATGCGGGTCCTGCGCCCGATCGGATAGTGTCGCATAAGCTCTAAAATCAGCGATGTATCCGATTTACAAACTACGAAATAAAATTAAAAATGCCCCTGCGTGTCTACCTCTTCTGTGTAATTCTTTGAGGACCAACTAGTGGGATCTACGGAACACGGCATAAAAATGATCTTGCCGAAAGTCATTTTGATTCGGAGACGCTAAGTATATATGAACAAAATAAGCGTGGCAACTCAGAATAAACACGCCCAACGCCCTAAGCTTCATCTCTAAGGCAAACCGTTACTATAGACGTTGTCATTTACAGAACGCGCAACGTAAGTCAAAGTGACTGGTCCGCCCTGGGTTCTCAAAAAAAAGAAAAGAAAATAGACAGAAGGTTTTGTTGTTTACATCTTACTATAAGGCATAGGACCATTGGTTTCTCTTCTTTATAGCAGAACTTCTGCGTCATGAGCATCCCTCCCCATAGCGTAGTGGTATTCACTGGCGGCAATGCGGAAAGCAAGTCGTCTGCTTCTTGCGGAGGGGTTGCGGTATAACGTCAAAGCGACGCCGAGTTTTGATTGGCTTTGACTGGAAGGATGGATGCCTTAAGGTCTACCCAATATTTTGTTTTTAATCAGCCAATGAGAGCTTGGCGTTCTGACATCATCGTAACCCCTGTGCAAGAAGACTGGCTCTCCGCATAGCGTAGTCACAGACTATTGAGAGCCTGTCCACTTCTTTCTCTTCTTCTGTGAAGCGTCACAAAACTACGACGGCGACAAATTAGCGATTGGACCCGTGCTTGAGTCCCAGCGTCCGTGGACGCGTCCATTGAACGCGGGTTTTAGCCGAACTCTGACGGGGCACTCGGGTCTATTCTTTGTTTGCGCTGGGTTGTAGTGTCGTGACGGCAGGATTTGAGAGCAGACGCCTCTCAACTTGCCTTTCAGCAAACCATGGGAAAAAGTGAGACCTATAGTGACAAAGTGAAGCAGCTGACAATGTTTCTTGTGCTGCTGAGTGCGTGCTGACGGCGAGCTTCCACAATGCTTCTGGAACGCGCATTTCACGTTATCAAGGTTGTCGTGCTTGGCAGAAAATAAACAAAAGCTTGTTCTGAGCATGCGCCGTCAACAATGCGCCCGAATATGGCGTCGAGTGAGTACCACCGATTCGGTTCATGCGGCCGTCATCTGCAGGCAGAAAATTCAGTTGAGCGACTGACTTGTAGAGCATGGGCTCGACGGTGGAGACGTTAACGCGCCATTTGAACAGCTCTCTGCGAAGGCCGTCGGCGAGCGAGCAGATACCGGCCGCGGCGGTGGATGCAGCGACGGCCCCTGGTATGGCGAACCTGCCTGAACATGAAAAGAAACGAGTAACATAAACACCGAAAACAAACAAACATCATTGGTATTATAGTATTAATTTAGGATTACCGATAACCAGCTTTTCTCCATTCTATTTCTCTCGGGAAATAAAGATTTCGCATTTCATCAAAAAGAAGAGAAAAAGTGAGATAGAGGATGGAGTGTGACATTGCTGATTACGTTTCAGAAGGCTTTGTCGCGTTTTGAGCTCAAGTAAACTAAACACACAAAACGTGCTGTTGTGCAACACAAGGATCACAGCTTCAATTGAAGTCCACGAACTTGATTTATCTAAAAGCATTAGTAGTTTAGATAGATTACTGTCTTCCTACTGTAAAAAAATAAAAAACAGTCGATCGCATGTTTGTGCTAACTCTGTGAGTCTTTCGAGATATGCGCTAGTCTTGCTTCAAAATGCTTCAGCCGAGGGCTCTAGCAGAAAATTAGCTTTTTCAGCAAAACGCTGGGAACGCTGCCATGTATATGCTACAGCTTTAATGACACCTCTAAAAACAGGGTTTGACTGAACTAAAAACTAACAGTATGAGCTCAATACAAAGAAGTGGGAGTGGGACTATAGACGAACTGGAACGTAGACTAGACGTTAGGGCGGAATATACAGGGTGTTTCTATAAACGCGGGCAAAATCGCTTCTGCGAAAACTATGCATCGCACTGAAAATGAAAGCCCTGTAACGCCGAATTAGAGCGCAGTTCTTGAGGAGGAGGAGGGAAGGGTATTGAGGGGAGGGGGCTATACCCCTCCTCCCTTCTCACCCTCCCTGCTACTTCTCGCCTCCTCCCTACTCTACCTATCTCTCCTCCTCGTTCTCCTCCTGCCCTCCTCCTCCTTCACCTACTCCTTCTCCCCTCATCCTTCAACCTCCCCCCTCTTCTCCTCCTCCTCGCCGCTCCTCCTCCATCCTCTTCTCTTCTCCTTCTACCCCTCCCTTATCTCCCTGCTTCCCCCTCCTCTCCCTTCTTCTCCCCCTCCCCCTTCTACATCGTCCATGCCGACGGCGACGCCGACGCGCCACGTCGGCGCGTTACGCCAAAGCGTTCAGGGCTGTTTATACTCTGTCGTAACGTCAACGAGCGCACGCGCTCGTTAACGCTCGCTGACGCTGTCTGCGAACAGGGCGTCTATACTCCAACGTCAAGTTGAACGTGCTCGACGCGCTCGACGCGCTGAGCAGCTCGACGCGCTACAGCGCAGCTTGCGACGGACTTGGACATGCTCTACGTTTGACGTTGGACGTCGGCGGCGACGACGGAGGCTGTCCCAGAAGCCCTCGCGCGAATGCCTCATTTGAGAATCCGGTTGCCGGGGCGTCGGGGTCAGTGTCAGAGCGTGCGAGATGATCATTTCTGGGATCTGAACCTGTCGTTCTTGCCGTGTGTCCCGTGCTGTTGTCGTGTTCCCGTACGTTTTGGTGCGCGTATTTAACGTTCGAGCGCTTGACTGGCCGAGTGTGTGCGTGCACGTGGACCGCTCGGAGAATGCGCTAACCCCGATTTTCGATAGGCCTATGGACCTAACGAGCCGGTGGTGCTGTGCCGCGGTGTTGGGGTGCCGGCAGAAGCTGGAAGCTCGATGACGCGCCAGAGGTAGGGTTCATTAGAATTAAGAATGACCTAATGTGTGTGCTATTTATAATCACGTGCTAGTCGCACTTACCGGCAGTCGTTCCCGATCGAAAAAGCGTCGTCGAATGTACAGGAACGGCGGACACAGTGAAACCTCAGGACTATTTAGTCGGCTTGTAAACGGTCTCAGCTTGAAAACGATAGTAGCGGTACTATATGACAATAGAACTGAATCTTGCATTGTTTGCATAGGCTTTGTAAAGTGCGTTGCTATTTTGAACACGTACATTGCGTAATTTGGGCATCGTCCGCTCTTTTCGGTGTCCCTTCCTTAAGTCAGCCTGATAACTTACCGACTATCTGTCACAAAGAGGTCTCTGTGGAATAACGAGTGCATCAATTTCATCGAAGCATTCTGGCAGAATTGCCGGAGTCGCTTGGCACGATTCCGGCAAACCTGCGAAGCAGCTAGGTTCGACGGACGCGATATCGGGCTTTTTGTTTTTTCACTTTTTTTTTGACATTTGTGTGACATTTAGGATAATATAAATGCTAGTTTCACACGTTATCACCGTCATTTGCTTGTTTTTTGAACTGCTAACCCCTAACCTGACTGGTTGTTTTGAAGCCTGACATGACAACACGAGTACGAACCACACTGACCGATTGCATCTAGGCTAGGTGGCGCAAGCTACCGCCCATAGATAACCCGTACAGACGATGCGGTTGCCACGGAGACGCGCATGCGCGAAGTGGGGCAGTTCGTTGGGGCGCGCTGGACCAGCGTTGGTCTACGCTGGACTGTAAACACCATCGTTCGGGCGCTTCTTGGCGCGGCGGACTGGCCGACGAACGTCGGTTTGCGCCGGCGCGCGTTGCGTTCGTCGACGTTGGAGAATAAACAGCCCTTTATGGTTACGGCGTCGCCGAGGTTTCACGCCGACGCGTTAAGGGTCAAGCTAGGTGTCTCGACAAGGCGTTGGCTATCATTTTGAAATCTCCAGTACGTTTGCTTTTCAGAAATCACAATAAACAAAAATCATGGAATACTTACCTTGAACGCCGGACATGATTACGAGTCTTCCCCTGCTTCGACGAAGGTGAGGGATGCCCTCTTTAACGAAGCGTAAGGTTCCCGAGAGGTTCACGTTGATGATCCACCGAAGCTCGTCGTGTGACATCCACTCAATCTCTCCATAGTTGGTGACTCCTGCGTTCGCCACGATGCCCCAGAGCGCTGGAGACAACGGACACGCGAGGCTGTCATTAGCATTTAGCGTGTATACGCTACGTATAGTCAACGTATTTTTACCCTTTTCACCGAGATGAGTGGTCACTGTCTTGTACGCTTGCACGATGCTCTCCTCGTCCAGATAGTCGATGGGGACGACCGTGACCTTGAGGTCTTTCAGGATAGCGCCGCCGTCAGAGTTGGGATCTAAGCAGCCGGCGTAGACCTCAAAGCCGTGCTCGTGCAAACGCCTCGCGGTGTGGAGGCCGAGTCCGCTGTCGCAGCCTGACCGTGAAATTTTGTTACAATATATGAGAATGAACTACCTATAGTAACGGGCAGTCTAAAGAAAAACACTGGCGCAAGTCGAGCCCAGTGTATTTTTTTATGGCTCCACAGTCAATACGATGGTGAAGTTAGCCGTAAGAATGCCTAAGATCCAAACATGATACATGAAGCATGAGTGTAATGAACCGCGGCCTTCGTCTCTTAAGATGTCTCTGGCTATAGGATAATGATCATAGGTTATGAGGACCTGCCAAATTTGTATGGGCTTCACAATGTTTTTCGATGGCACAATTTTCACAGTGCGTCCGTCCTAGTGCTCTCAAGACGGTATTGAACGCTTTGTCGGTAATTATGGAAGCTGGGACTATAGTCTGAACAGCATAGCTCACAGGCAATTAAATCCAAATGGCGAAACTACCACCGAGGTCGGTTTCAGAGCCGACCGCAATTTTTAAAATGAACTAAAAGACCCCGCACGGCGACAGTTCAATTAAACAAAAAACGAAAGAGGTATTTGAGTTAGCTCTTTTGATCAGAATGATTCAAGGGAAGTCAGACAAAATTACGTTCATAAGCGGCCTATCTTTAAATAACGTGGTGCAAAGATCGCAATACACCGCTTTTCCGCGAAATATTGACGCTTTTCGCAACGAAAAAGAGCGGGCCGCGATTTTTAAATGCGTTTTTATTACGGGAAATTGCCGTGCGTGATCGTAATTTCGTTTTTTTTAAAACGCTTAAAGCGTATCGGTTTAGTCATCGCCATATTTTCCCATAGCAAATAATTGGTCCATAGGTAGACATCCTTGTGTATGTTCCATTGCAAAATTAAAAAGAAAAAAAAAAAAAAAAACTCTACGAAGTAATGTAAGGATCAACTCTACGAAGAATACATATCTTGCACGTAATGTCATTATGCCGTTCTGATGGTCACAAGTCTATTTAGTAGGACTAGTGGTCACCATGGCTGATTCCGCTGCTGTAGAGCGCGTGCTCAATGCAAGCTTCAGCAATGTTTTTTACTTGGTGCATTTCCCATATCACAATTGCTTTCATAACACAATCAACTATGGTGACCTGTTGACCCCACCAATTGCTTGCCTGGGCGTAATGTTTCTGGGGTGTAAAATTAACACGAGAGAAGGAATACCAGCGTCAGCTGTAAACAACATTAAAGCCTCAGTGACTCCAATGCAGCTCACGTTATACAGCGTGCCCATGAATCCGGGCGAAGCCTCGAGAGGGTTGCTGAACCGAAATCTGGATTCCACAAAGCACGGCGGCGAAAGCGTGCAACGGGATGCTACAAACATCAAAACATTACTTATACAACAATATATCCAACAAATTACCGTTTTTTTTTGTTTTTTTTTTTTTTTGTTTAAGGCGTTACGTTTGACAGATATGTTGACGTCTCGTTTCTCCGAGAAGAGTCGAGAAGGAGAGGGAACAGCCTTGCGTCTTCTCCGTCTCGCCGCCTTGAGGGGGCGAAACGAAGAGGGGAGGAAACGAGATATCTTGACGTCACGCGCCTCGTCGGCCTCGTTCAATCTCGACCTTTTCTTTTTCTCCAAAAATACCGGCCGTCGATTTGAGATATCACCTTACGAATAGTGTTGTAAGGATTGCAGCGTCCTACCTACAGCTCCTGCATTGTTTTCTGAAATACAAATTTCGGTTCACCATCTCTTTAAAGTGACCTTTCTGCTTTTGGCGTGGCCGGTCGGTAGACTTGCACAACGGACGCCGCCGCCATCTGTCGGTTGTTGCGTTAGTCAACAACGTGCGTGGATAGCAAACGAGCGCCGTAGGTGGGTAAAATCAAGTTGTCTTTTCTTTTTGTACTTTTTACTCAAGTACGTTTGTTCTTCGATTATTTGACGCGAAGCTTCCGCCACCTTCGGGCACCTCGGTGCTGGATCGTAGCGCGATACGTTACAAAGCCGGTTTATGTTGTCATCTTAAAGGCTTCCCACGGATTCGTGGGCACGCTGTAGTTTATCGAAAACGGTTCAGTGATGACGGAGTGGGAGCGTACCGGTGATGAAGACGGTCGGGTCCTTGATACGCACTTCCCTGCGGTACTTGCGGTCAATGAGCTCTGCTATGTTGAACCCTACGATGAGAGAAAAGATGAGGTTGGAGACGAGGCTGAGCAGAAACCGCAATGGCGGAGTGACGGCCATCAAGATGAAGCTGAGGCTCGTGAGCACAATGAGGCCGAGAAGTCGGTCCCGGGCGACACCGGGATCCTCCATGGCTGCCCCTGGGTTGGGCCCAAGAGGCCCAAGACTAGCCGAGGGCAACAAGCTTTTCCTCCTCTTCCTTCTTTCCAAGCATATGTCAGTCAAAATCGAACTCTTTCAATATCGAAGCGATACTGTGCCCCATTTCACCTTATGATGTACCGCAGAAAAGGCTACAAGCGCGAGCTCCTTGCTCTGGGGCACATCTCGGCGGCACAAGCACTCGTGAACTGCGAACGCTATCAGCTCGCGCTTCTAACCTTCGCTGAGGTACAACATAAGGTGAAACAAAGTATAGCGGTGCGCTGCAGTGCAAAGCATCTTGCGAACCTATTTACCGAGCTGAGTTCACGCTATCCCGTCACAATCTAATTTTCCTGAAATTTATAGGGTTGTAGGTGTTGCCTACCAATACTGATAGAATACTGGGGAACGTTTGTTGGTGTTTCCGATCGCGTATCAGATATTGTGGGCACGTAAACAAAGGAAGAAGAAATCTGCTCTCTCAATTATTCTGTTTTATCGTCTGACCCCTCTGAGGCAGACCAAGTTCTAGGCTGTATAAACACACACACAACCCAATTATTTTATCGTCTGAATGTCCTAGACTTCTTAAATGATTTGTGACCCGGGAGGGGCATGCTGCACTCTGGACTCGTAAACAGGCGGCCAGAAAAATATTGGACGCGGCCGGGTGTGCTCATGCTGATGGTGCATTCAGACTGGCGGTTGAGCTGCGTTTGTGAAGCGGTTGCGAATGCGGTTCATGAGCGACCCCTTTCAGACACACCGAGACGCGGTTGGCGATTTCGAGGCAATAACGCGTGATCTTTGGAGACTTGCTCTTTTCTTGGCATCCCTGTTTTACATTCCAAAAGTCCAATATAATCCACGATCCAAAGCCAAAATTACGCTATTTTGGCACTCTGAAGATTTTTCTTTGGCATGTTTGCACGAATCACGAGTTGTGGTAGCGAAAAAAAGGCATGGACCCGCAAAACTCACTTGGGATTCCCTCGACCAAGGCCACAAGCAAAGCCCAGCTAGGCGCGCCTTGCTCATTCAGAAAAGGATGTCCCCGACCCTTCCTTTGAAGTGGACTCTTCTCACATGAATATCTGACATTGTTTTCGGGTTAAAGGGCCAGTTTCTAACCCCCCCCCCCCCCCCCCCCCCCCCCCGTGGTTCGCTCTTGTCATTTTCGGAGCTGTGAGAGGCACTGATGGACCGTGGTGCGGCGGAATGTGTTCGGTGCTAGCAGGTCGTGGCTTCATTGATGAAGGGCTTTCTTCGTCACTTGCATGTCGATCGAGTCTACTGTTTGTTTGACATTAAGCACAAATAAACGCCGTATGGATTACCTCTGCATCGTCTGGTACGTACATTTTATTTCTTGAGTAGGTTCCCTTTATTCCTTTTGGTAGTAGTGAACATTACAGGTCGAGACAATCCTTCGTCGAGACTGAAGAAAAAAAACAACAACAAAGGACTTCGTAAAGCGTCCTTCGTTTTTTTTTTTCTTTTTTTTTTGGCAATCTTGATTATTTGTTTAAGGACACTGTTTCGCAGGAAGGCCCTGCATATTGGTTAAATTAAAGTCCCTGGATAAAATCTGTTCCTGCAGACAACTGTACCCCTTGAGGTGCCGACTAATTTACGTAGTTTGAGTTGATCGTTCCGATATCTCCGATAACTATAATGGATACTTCTCTGCGCCTTGGCACATGCATACCACAGTGCTATCAAAGTGTAAAAAGTATCCGAAAGAACGTAAACGGCAAGCTTGGCGGTTTTTCTTTTCCTTCCTGTTATTTACCATTGAACCGGCCAAGCCTAGAACAAATGTTTCTCCCACTTGTCAAGGTCACAAGTTTGACCGCTCGCTATATTCTCACTTTTCAAGCAATGCACTAGGACTCTTCTCTGGCATTTTGAAAATAAATTTTATTATGGCTAACAAAAATAAAAATAAAATATTGTATTTTAAGATATTAATATAAAATGTCTGCCAATGTCCCGTTGATGATTTTCGACAACGTTTTGCTAGTTCTTACGTCAGGACTATTGAAGATATTTTAATTACCTTGATATCACCAAAAAGCTCAAATGAAGTTATCTTTATTTAATATAATTTTGACAATATTTGTAAAAATAAAATGCCTTATATATATTTGCTTCATTTGCCAAGATATTATCGTGGTCTATCATGACATGTAAACAAAATATAGTATTTTGTGTATATAACCGAAAATAAATCTTGAACCTTTTTAAATTCACGTTGGAAAACGCAAGTTTTATCGCGGATTAAAGTAACTTTTACATGTAATTACACAAAATTTCGGGTATTTTTAGGCATAGGTGTTAAGTATTATTTTGAGGTAACCAACCATATTAATATCACAATATTGTCCAGAATGTTAACTATGCGAGGACGCTGTCGCAA